GGACAGGTTTCCTAGTTAAGCTTGCATTCCAGAACTAGACTGTTTCAAAGATGGCTGCCTGTTTCTCAGCTCTTCGTACACATCTCACATTTGCCTACCCTGCACTCATTTCCCCTTACTCTGTGTATTCATAGTTCCGGAGGTCAGAAGTCTGAGTGTGGTTCAGTTGGATTCTCTGCTTAGGGTCTCACTGGGCTGAAAGCATGCTGCGACTGGGGTCTCATCTGGGGCTTGGGTTCTCTTCCAAGATCGCTCGCTGGCTGTTTTCAAACTTGAGTTCCTTAGGATTTTAAGACTGAGGTCTCCATTCTCTTGCTGGCGGTCAGTCAGGGACCTCTAAGCTCCAAAGATCCATACTAGGTCCTTGCCACATGGTCTCTCACGCTGAATACCTCTGACTTCAGGAAGGGCCTAGTTCCTTTTAATGGTGCACCTGGTTACATCAGCCCCCCTCCCACGATGATCTCCCTTTTGATTAAGCCAACAGATTAATAAAAATTAGTCTTAGGAGTGACACTGCATCACACCCACGGGTTCTGCCTGTATTCAAGGGGAGGAGATTACACAGGACACGCACACCAAGGACCTTAGGGCCATCTTAGAATTCTGTCCAACACAGTTTGGTAACCGAACTCTTCTGGAATCAGTCCTTTCCTGTTCAGTCAGTGTGATCTGAGGTAAAGTGTATCATCTTCCAATCCACAGTATAGAACCAGCACTGTGTGAGGAGGGCATGTTGAAGACATGGTGTGTAAGTCAGCTTTGGCTGCAGTAACAAATAACTCCAAAGTCTCAATGGCTTCCCATAACAAGTATTTATTTCTTGCTCGTGAGTATTCAGGTTGGTTCTGACTCTGCTGGGTATGGAATCCAACAGCAGGGTTAACATTGAAAGGTGAACCAGAGTAGCACCTGCCAGTGTGACCTGCTGCTTCCCTGCATGCAAGGTTGGATTCATGTCTGTTACATATGTCTCCTCATCTACATGTTGCCTCACATGGAGAAGCAACTACTAACAGGTCAGGCTAAATCATGCGAGCCCATTTATGATGGCCGTTGGTGGAATCTATCACTTCTGCTCATCTTCCAAAGCCCAAAGTAAGCAGTGTTGAGATGCATGACAAAGTCACATGACAAAGGCTTATTTATTTATTTGAGAGAGAGAATGAGAGACAGAGAGCACGAGAGGGAAGAGGGTCAGAGGGAGAAGCAGACCCCCCACTGAGCAGGGAGCCCGACGTGGGACTCGATCCCAGGACTCCAGGATCATGACCTGAGGCGAAGGCAGTTGCTTAACCAACTGAGCCACCCAGGCGCCCCTCTGCTCATCTTCCAAAGCCCAAAGTAAGCAGTGTTGAGATGCATGACAAAGTCACATGGCAAAGGCTTGGATGTACAAGCCTAATCAAGGTAGTAATCAAAGGAATTGGGGTCAGTCATTCAGGCCACCACACACAGGAGCGTTCCAGAGGATTTCAGAGACTGACGGCAATTCTTCAGTCTTCTTCTAAGGGTGGCCCCTCCTTCCAGTTCCCATCAGCGTATATCTGGTCTGACTTATCAAAGGCCGGATGGAGGGGAAGACTAGAAAGGCGAGCAAGTTGCAGATATCTGTCCAAAGGTCAAACAAGCCCATATCCCTTTCAGAAACAATCAGTGACTGAGACAGTAAAGGCAGAGAAGTATAAAATGAATCCCCTAAGGTGAGTGAAAATCCTAGGAGTCACTGGACACCTCAGATGGATTTATAGAGTGGGTACTCACTCCAAGACACACTTTGGAGATGTCCCACCTGTCACTGTGTGGCCTGGCAATTCTGCAGAGTATTAATTTTACTTCTACTATTTAAAAATTTTTTTACACATATATGTTTTCCAGGGAAGCAATATAGATGTTTTTAAAGGAAAGAACGGGCAGCAAACTTTTAAGGACAAAGAAATATCAAATACTTAATATTAACTTCTTTGCTGTGTTGTCACTCTCCATCATGACAGCATTTCTTTAGTAAAACCAGGTACACACATACACACACACACACCCCAAGACACAGCCACCTCTCCTTGGCCATGCAGCCCATCCCCAGCAGCTGTGGTGACTCCGGGGGCACCAGGACTAGAGAGAACAATGTAATTCTAGGTCCCACTGGATGGCATAGTGAAGTTACAGGAACACTTCCAGCCCCCATCAAGCCAGGCTCAGCATCTGCAGTAGGCCTGAAGGTGGGGGTTCCACGAAAGGATCTCACTGGCATGATGGTCAAATATTTGATACCCAGTATGGTACAATCAGGACCATGGCCAGCACCCTGTGACCTGCATGGGAGTGAGTGACTATGATCCCTGCATGGGGGAGGGGGGGAGAGTTATAAGTTGTAGAAGATGGAGGCTGGGAATCCAACGGCAGGGTTGACATTGAAAGATGAACGGAAGCAGCACCTGCCAGTGTGACCTGCTGCTTCCCTGCATGCAAAGGACTGCGCATCTCAACCTGAGACCCCAGGGGTCCTGCAGGGCATAAACTGGATTTGTCTTCCTGCCTGAGGCAATCACCAATTATATGTGCTGCGAGGCAAGCTGGCCTCCCGCCAGAGGAGGAGGTGAAAGGATTTACAGAATCTCTCTCTGATCTGACTTACTGAAGAAGTTAAAAGATACTCATCCAGAAGGCAGCATAGTGCAAGGTAAAAAGTCAAGATACAAATCCTCATTATCCAAGAGGCCTTCAACTAGAGTTCCTTAACCTCTCGGACTCAGTCCCCTCATCTGGAAAACGGGAATCCTAACTGCATCCACCTGGCAGAGTTGTGATGACAACAAAGTGAGCGAAGGATACGGGCAGAGCCCTCAGAGCAGGGCCTGATACAGAGCTGGCCCTCTGGGAGTCACTTCTGTCATCCAACATGGGACGAGGGTCCAGGAATTCAATCAAAACCAAAAGATCAGAAGGGAAGGTGATGTGGGACACCTGAGTGGCTCAACTGGTTAAGCAGCCTACTCTTGATTTTGGCTCAGGTCATGATCTCAGGGTCCTGGGATCGAGCCCCATGTCAAGCCCCATGTCGGGCCCCATGCTCAGTAGGGAGTCTGCTTGAGGACTCTCTCCCTCTCCTTCTGCCCCTCCCCCTGCTCGAATGCACACTCATGCTCTCTCCCCCCTCTTTAAAATAAGTCAATAAATATTTAAAAAGAAGAAGAGGAAGAAGAAGGGAAAGGTGAGGCACAAAACTCCATGACATTGGCAGCATGAAGTCTGACTCAAAGGGAAGTTGTCTTTATTGATGTTCCCCAGGAAAATCCAAGGCCAAAGGAAAAAGTGGGAACTGAGCTGGATCCAAGTCTGCTTGGACCCGATCAGAACCTGCACAGACCCATTCTCATGCAACCCCCGTCTCTGATCAGCCAGTCTGGCCCAGCTAAACTGGGCGGCTGGTGCTGTCAGTAACAAAATCGATGATCTGTGATTGAGAAGCAACATGAGCTGCCACTTCCCCGCCAACATTAACAAAGAACGAAGTCAGACCCTACATAGCACCTGCGGGGCCATACCTTCCATATGCCAGTATTTTGATGTTCTAGAATAACTGCATGTGACATCTGAAAATACACCAGTCTCTATAACACCTACCCATGCTGCTTTTTAAAATCCTCCCACCTCTTATGGAACGCCAGAGATGTTTGGGATCTCATGCAGGCTTTTCGTCTTATCTAGATGTCTATTGTGGACATGTGACCAGGAAGAGAACGCAGGGCATGCTGGTAGCAGAACACAAGTGCCCAGGATGCCTAGCTTGCTACCTAAGGGAAGTCACAAGAAACAACTCTGGTTTTTGTTTTTGAGACGGTGTAACAGCCTGGGAGGTGGCAAAGTACACTTCCGTCCCCCTTTTCTGAGCTGAAGGCCAAGAGCATCCTGCAGATTTCCAGAAGGAACTCCATCCCTCCCAGCCTCCAAAAGGATTGGGCCAGTGGGCTGACTTTCCTCTGCTGGGCAATAATCACATGGGTGACTGACTTACAATGTGTATTTTCTTTTATTTCAACACATCCCCAAAGCCCAGAACAACTTAAACCCAGAAGAGCCACCAATTTCGTCAAAAAAAATTTTTTTTTTAAGATTTTTTTTTTTTTATTTGAGAGAGAGAGAATGAGAGAGAGAGCACGAGAGGGAAGAGGGTCAGAGGGAGAAGCAGACTCCCCACTGAGCAGGGAGCCCGATGTGGGACTCGATCCCGGGACTCCAGGATCATGACCTGAGCCGAAGGCAGTCGCTTAACCAACTGAGCCACCCAGGCGCCCCAAAAAAATTTTTTGAAAGCTTAACTGATAACTCCGCGACCATTCATTCAGCTGACTCCCGAGGAAATGGAAGGCATCCGGAAAATGTATTTAAAAATTGATTTAACGTTGAGCCGTGTTAAATGTTTTAATTTCCAAGCAATGCAAGACCCACCGAACATCAATTAGACCCAGCAATCAGGCAGGAATATTGGCTTCTGTTGAGGGATTCATTTATTTCAGCTCTGCTAAATATCTAAGAAGGAGAAATCCAATGCAGCCTATAGCTCCAAGGGAGGGATGTTAAGCCAGAGAAGAAGCCAGATCAGGCCCCGGCTAAAATGGTGCCTTTGCCAACACCTGCCACCCCCTGACATCTCTCTCTGGAGGGAGGGCAGTGACTTGTACATATTGTCCTCATGCTGTTGACAGAAAACACCCTTCCCTCCTCACAGTTTCTCTGTCCCCAAGCTAGAAAGCAAGAGAGGCTGAAACAGGGCAGAGAATGGTTCTCTGCTGAGGACACAGGCCAGCTTAAGAACTTTTTAGGATCATTTTTAATAATTATTCTTCCTTTCAGTGCCTTTTAAATTTCCAGGTCCTGGGGACTCCCTGCCCCAGTGGAGGCTGTGGGTGGGGGTAGGGGGTCTCACAGTCTGCAGTGCCTCTGTTTCCACACGCCGGGGCCCACTGCTTGGGCACTGAAGGGCCATGCGCACACGCCGCTCACCACACGGTCTTGGGCAGGAGAACCAGCAGAGGACAGCCAAGCCAAGGACCCCAGGTGACAGGGCCTCCTAGAAGGAGACAGGAGTGCACACGAGGTCTCAGCAGCCCTCGGAGGGCAGACACAGCATCCCCAGCTCCCTGGGTCTCCCTCTGGACCACTCACTTGATCTCCCAGAATGCTGTTTGCTCTTCTCAGACAGGGAATAATGACCCCAAAGCAGGGGGCGTGGAGGGGGCTGCCACAGGGGAGTAAAAATTAAATGACATTGTGTGAATCAGCTTGTACCAGAGCTGCCTTAATCATAAGAGTCACTGGGGAGATTGTTAAAAATGCAAATTCCAGGGGGCGCTTGGCTGGCTCAGGTCATGATCTCGGGGTCCTAGCATCGAGCCCACTTTGGGCTCCCTGCTCAGTGGGGACTCTGCTTCTCCCTCTCCCTCTGCCCCTCCCTCCTGCCCCTGCTCATGCTCTCTCCCACTCGCAGGCGCTCTCGCTCTCTCAAATAAATAAAATCTTAGAAAAAAATGCAAATTCCAGGATCCTCCCCTGAAGATTGTGATTGAGCAAGCCTGGGATGAGGCCCCAGGAATCTGTATTTGAAAGATTCCTCCCAGGTGATCCTGATAATGAAGTAAGTTTAGGAAACAAGAGATTAAGGCCCTCACCAATAGGAAGGGCCTGTGGAGTGAAGGGAAGGAGAAGGCATCTGGGGTCCTACAGGGACACCACTTTCTGACACTGCTGGTTCAAGGGAAAACTGGTCCTGCCTCTCTACAGGGGATTTGGTGATATCCAACAAAATTACAAATGCATGCACCCTCTAACCCAGCAATCCCACTTTGAAGATTTTATCCTGCAGATATACTCAAACAGATGCAAATGGTAAGAGGTTATCCCCTGAAGCCTTGTTTGTAATAGTTAAAAAACAAACAAACAAACAAAAAAAACAGAAATATCCTTCTGTAGACATCTGGTTAAATACACTTATGGTGTAGCCAGAAAACCAACAATTGCAAGGCTACTATGTACAGATACAGAACTGTCTCCAAAATATATTGTTAGATGAGATATGCAAGGTGCAGAACAAAGGGTATAACATCCTTTTTATAAAAGTGCAGAGATAATCTATGGATAGGTACAGACTATCCCTGGACAAATACACAAGAAGCTGGTAACATTACTTGCCTCTGGGGAAGGAATGGGTGACGAGGAGACAGGGGACAGACAGACGGAGACATCGCACTGCATTCCTTTTCACCCTTACATAGTTTGAATCCTGCGCATTCTCTTGTGTGTGTTATATAATACACACAAAACACAATATTTAAAAATAATTTTTAAATGGGGGCACCTGGGTGGCTCAGTTAGTTAGGTATCCAACTCTTTTTTTTTTTTTTAAAGATTTTATTTATTTATTTGACAGAGAGAGGGAGACAGCGAGAGAGGGAACACAAGCAGTGGGAGTGGGAGAGGGAGAAGCAGGCTTCCTGCCGAGCAGGGAGCCCAATGTGGGGCTCGATCCCAGGACCCTGGGACCATGACCTGAGCCGAAGGCAGACGCTTAACCAAATGAGCCACCCAGGCGTCCCAGGTGTCCAACTCTTGATTGCAACTCATGTCATGATTGCAGGGCCATGAGATTGAGCCCCGCATCAGGCTCTGCACTGGGTGTGGAGCCTGCTTAAGATTCTCTCTCTCTCCCCTTTGGCCCCTCCCTCCCACTCCCCACCTCCACTCGGCTCTCTCTAAAACAAAAAATTTAAATGTATGCATATTATACTTCAATGAAAAGTTTTTAAAATAATAATAGTAAATCAGGGGCGCCTGGGTGGCTAAGTCAGCTAAGCATCTGACTCTTTGATTTCAGCTCAGGTCATGATCTCAGGGTCATGGAATCGAACCCTGCATTGGGCTCCAAGCTCAGTGGGGAGTCAGCTTGGGATTCTCTCCCTCTCCCTCTGCCCCTCTCCCCCCAACTCAAATAAATAAATCTTTTTAAAAAAATAACAATAATAGTAAATCAAAGGTGCCACCTCTGGCCACTCGTGGCTGCACAAATTGGGAATTCCCTTGTTCTCCAACCCCAAGGGAAGGCTGGGGCAGACGGAGGGAGATACACACGTCAGGAGAAGATAGAGTGGAGGTTTTGAGCACCAAGTTCTTTTTGCTCACTGGGTATTTGCTCTCATTGCTCTCTCTACCTGGGACACTCAGCCCCATGGGGCTGAGTCCATATTCTCCCCAACCTGGGCTGCAATCTAGACATTACTGTCTTTGGGAAGTTTCCATGGCCACTCCCTGAACCCCCAAGCCTAGGTCAGCTGTCTCGCCCATGTGTTCCCTGTCAACAGCGCCTGTCATACTGCCTCATGGTCGCCGGGCTAGGTATGCCTTCCCTCACCCCCATGCTGCACTGAGAGCTTAGTGAGCACCAAGGACATATCTGGCTTGGTCACTGCTGTCTCCCCAGAGCCCAACACCACGGCTTGTCCAAAGATGGTGCTCACTAATGATAGAAGGGCTCACAAAGAAGTGATGGGGGTAAGGAAGAGGGGACCAACCTTCTTATCCTAGCTCAGCCCTAGTCACCATCACCTCCTTCTGCCTCCTTCCTTCCCCGGTCTTCCCAGATGTGAAATCACCTTGTTCATTTACAAGACAGCCTTACCTGTCTTCTCACCTCTGTATTCCCAGCTCCTGCTGCAGGCCTGACATACAGTAGGTGCCCAATATATACCGGTTGAATTTATTACTTAATACTGGTCAGTGAGAAGGAGGTAGGATGCAAGGGAACCGCTGAAATGCATTTAGCCCCGAGAGAATCTGATTCAACGAGTTTGGGTGGGGTCCACGAAACCGGCTGTTTTACAAGTTCCCCCAGGTGACTTGAAAGCACAGCCAGAGTTGAGCGTCATTTACATACGCTTGGTTGGGACTTTGGATTTTTCTCTAAATGCAGTCTCCGAAGACTGTGAGACCCCGCTCTGAATCTTTAGGAACCTCCCCGGCCAAGGCCGGGCAGGGGGGTACTCAGGGACAGGGAAGGGGGCTAGGGGTGGGGGCCCGGGCAGAGGGTTGTCCCGCTCACCACGAGGAGAACCAGAGGAGGGGGTCCAGGTGGGACTGGCGCTCGGGGGCGTGTCCAGCCAGGAGCGAGTGTTGGCGCCATCTAGCGCCCGCTGGAGGCTCTGCAGCTGCAACATGCTGAGCTGCCGGCGCTGGGCTGGGGTCACCGCCGCGGCGTTCTCGGGGCCCAACGAGGCGATCTGCTCCATGGACAGCTCCTGCAGCGGAGAAAGGGGACAGCGCCCTCAGGGGGAGGCCCTCGGGGGGACGGCCCTCCGCGGCCTTCCCAAACCTCGGTCATCCGCCCAGGGCCCGCACAACTTTGCCATACCCATGTACCATTTGTGCTCTTCTTGAGATTTTTCCTTAAAATCACATCGCTCTTTTCACTACTAGAATACATTTATTTTTTAAATGGAAAATTTTAGGTGGAAATTTCCAAAGATGGAAGACCAAAGTGACTTGCCATCAGTAATCATTAACAATAAGCCAAAAGAAATGAACATTATTGAATCTGAGCTGGCTTTGTTGGCCAACGATGTCTGAACCCAAGGCCTCTTAAAAAATAATCAAGAAGAGGAGACTTGAAGTGTTATAGAGGGTTAAAGACACTTTAGCTCCAAACTGAGACTTCCTCATTGAAGTAATCAGCATTAAAGGAGAGTTGGAAAGAAAGTCATGATTTTCTCACTGTGTGACTTAATGTTGTTTAATTCAGTGCAAGGTGCTGCCCCCAGGTTTCAAGTCCCCCACCTGAGAAACACTGGCATAGAGGAGAAAACACAAGCCTAAAGGCCAAAGATCTGAATCTGTGTCCCAGCTCTGCCACATAACTAGCTGTGTGACCTCGAGCAAATTTCACAGCCTCTCTGGGCTTTTGGACTATATGTGGCATGGCGCCGAGAACTCCTCTCCTGTGTGGATTCTGATCCTCTGGCGTGACTGCCTGCGCACCCTGTGGGTGAGCCCTGCGACGGCTAGGTGGAGGAAAGGTGTGGTAATCTATTAGTGACGTCTGCCATGGCCACTGCAAGTGGGAACTTCTGCCAAGTACACTTATGTCTTTGAGGACCCTGAACAAGATGTTGACTGAAGCTGCTTCTAGCTCAGAGGACTTGGTGGCTAGTTCCAGAGGGTCTGGAATGAGATGGGATGGCAGGATTCTGAATTTGTAGAGAGGCATCTAAAGTCACGCTGCTTACTTTCTAAGGGCCCCAAAGATTCTGGGAAAGGGGTTATATTTTTTATTTCCTCCTTCACCGTCTTCTTATTCCCTGTCTAGGGAGATGCTTCCCCTGCTTAGAACCCTTCCCTGCCCCCCACCTCCAGGACACAGTTCCAGTTCCTGAATGTGGCAATGGGGCCCTCAAGCTTTGGGCCAAGCCCACCTGTCCAGTTGCCTCCCATCGGCACTCTTCGCTGCAGAAGAATGAGCACCCATATTTGCAGCCCCCAGGGGGCAGCACCTCTGCTGTGTACTTCCTTCTGCCTGGAGCGCTATTCCTCCCTCCGACCTAGCTAACCTGTCATGCAAGGTCAGCATCACCTCTCCCCGCCCCCCCCCAACACACACACAACACAGGTACTCTTCTGGCTTACACCTTCCATCTACCGTTAACACAGTCCGTGTTCTATGAATTATCTATTTTTTCCAACATGGCGGACTTGCAACCCACCAGCCAGACGGAATCTCTAGGCCCACTGGACTGTGCTTTAAAAAAAATAAATTCGAAGTGGTTGCCAACATTTGATTATCAGCAGGTTTCACATGAAAATGGAGACCTCTGGAATCGTAAATAAAATAATAATAAAAAAATAAAAGGAAGATCCAGCAATACTGGGCCCACATTGTCACACTGCACTGATGTGCCAGAGATGAGAAGCAGCTTCCCCATTCAGGGCTAAGTTTATTCATCTTGGACTCTACCCAGGCCACAGGCCACTGCACTGTCTTATGTTACTCCTAAAGCCCTGAAGGCGCTAGGTTATACCTTTTCACCAGTGCGTCCCCAGGCGCACCTAGGAATTTCTGAAAAAGACAAATCCCTGAACAAGGAAACAACCACAAAGTGCACTCCAAACAAAACCAAGGGAAAGTGCTCAGCAACATGCCAGCATCCAGAACCAAGCCACCTCTGCCCTGCAGAAACCCCCAGAAGGGCAGCTCCGAAGCCTTCAGGACTACTATTTATTTCCCCCCAAACAGCTATTTCACCTACTCTGTGCTGGAAACTGTCCTGTGTTGTGAAGTCGTTCAAGGTGGGCTATCCGTCTTGAAATGAACCAGTGATGTGGCATCACGGGCGTCTGTCCAACCTCATTTGTGTGTCTTCCACAGTTGTGGTGAATAGAATTTATTTCCAAGTTACCCAGCAAGTGAGAACACCAGGGCCACTCCTCATCAGAGCAGACTGCAGTCCCCACCAAACACTCCCCTAAGCTCATATGGGGACACAAGGCCCTGACTACCCTGTTTCCCTAACATCAGCTGATCCAATGCCACCTCCTCAATTTCTTCTAGAGCCGTTTCTCATCTGTCCTGTTGAGGTTTTCTCAATACTTTTCTTTAAATCAACTAAAATATGTTTACTTCAATCAATTTAAAAAGGAAATGTTATACAGGTCCATAATTCCTCATCAGCCATTCTGAAGTCCAAAAAAATCTCAGAACTGAATGTTTTTCCCAAAGTTTAAGACAAACTTATTTGCCTGCAAAACCTTGAATTGATGTAAGGCCATTTATAGTCTCTATTTATTCCAATTAGTGTGGCATCACTGACTTCTTCGCAGAAACATTAATGTATAAGGTGCTTCCCCAGACACTGCTGAGGGTGTTAAATTACATACTGGAGATTCACAGAGTTATCTTTTTTTTAAAATCTGGAAAATTCTGAATTCTGAAATGTATCTGTTCCCAAGGGTTCTAGACAAAGAAATATGACTCTGTCATACCATCATAAATAGAAAATCAATACCTTGCTATGAAGAGAGGCCAACCATAAAAATAAATACAAATTAAAACATAAAATTTTAAGGAAAAAATGTGTTTAAACCTAAAATTATCTTGTGACCCATTCATTGTTGGCATACACCTCTCCTCTGGCCCTATCAGCAGAAATCTGGTTGCAAGCCCCTAGAATCCAAGTCCTGCCATCTGTCTCTGATTTGAAATGGAGTCAAACTCCTATTCTCCTTGAAGAACTGAGTACCTACTTTGAATATCTCATCAGGAAGGCATTTGATTGCTGATGGCTGGAAATACGGCATCAAATCCTTGTCCAGCATTTGTAGCTCTTCCTTCGTTAATCCAGCTGGGGAGAAAAAGGCATCATGAGGGTTTAGTTCAAGACATCGGAACTCCACTTGTTGTATTAATGGTGCTACATAATGTACAGATCTGTGTGTTCTAGGCAAGCGTCATTCCTTACAAAAAGCCTTGAAAATCACACTGGAGAATCAAGTTCCTTAATCAACTCTGATAAAAAAAAAAAAAGAAAAAGAAAAAGTGGGTCACATTAGCCCTGATTGGTCTCCTACAACGAAAAGTAGGCCCAGAAGGAGCTTCACTTTATGCAATTTCAGATTGTGTATAAAACTATTTAGAAGTCAATTAAATCACATCGTAAACCACTTTAGTGTACACAAGAACCACAAAGAGAGCTTGTTTAAAGAGCAAATTTGTAGACCCCCCTCTGCAACCTCAAGTCATGAATCTAGGTTCTACTGTAACTTTACAGATGTTCACTACGTACAGCCAAGGATTCTTTTATTGTTATTGTTATTATTATTATTATTATTATTATTTTTGCTTTTGTCTCCAGATTTCAGGTTGGAAAGGGAGAGGAGGCATGCTCGAGGTGCCTTACCTGCAATAGTCCCGAGCTCCTGCAGGACAGAGCTGGACCATTTGGTGGGATCCCCAAATACAACTTCTGCCTTCCTCTTAAACTCGGCCAAGACATGGGTGCTACAGAGCAGGGTCCCGATTCTGGCCACCACCACCCTGGTTAAGAGGGAAGGATACAGTGTGAGCCTGGGAGACTCTCCAGACACGACAGGTGCGCAGAAGGTAGGTAGGCTCAGCAGCCAGAAAGGATCCAGCTGATTCCACTCCTCATTTTAACCCAGAAAGGGGGCAAGGCATCAGGAAGCAAAAGACATCTTGCTGAATGAATGAACTGGCCAATCAATCATTTGCCATTTTGAACACTACTGGTTTGGATACCTGAATTCTGAGATCTTTATGAGTGAGATTTCGGTGACGTTCATAGTACACAGGGCTGTACCAAGTCCTACTAAGTGGAAGCTCTTCAGATCCTGGATACTGTAGCCTGAATCCTCCAGGAACCCTTGCAGAATAGATTTAGCCTAGAAAAATAAGGAAGGATAAAAGAGGAACTATCCAGGGATGATGAAAACCCCAAGGCCTGAGGGGATAACTGAGCTACAGCAGTAGCCTACCAACCAATCCCCGATTTACTCCTCTGGACGCACCCCCATTCCAAACCATCCTAGCCACTGCCTCCAGGTTCATGTCCCTAAGGTGCTGCTTCTAGTGAGTATGTCCCCTCATCCACAGAGGTGTGTTTTGGCAGTGAAACTCTTGTACCCTTCACCAGCACTAAAGGAACTGTATCCTGTGTCTGTGTCTGCTAGCTTATTTTCTTCAGTCACTCATGACCTTCAGATAGTTTGCTCATTTGAGTTCTCCTGCATCAGGATCCAAACTTCTCCAGCATGTTTCCAGAACTTCCTTTTTTTAAGATTTTATTTACTTATTTGACATAGAGAGAGAGCCAGAGAGCACAGGCAGGGGGCGGGGGGGCAGTAGAGGGAGCAGGAGAAGCAGGCTCCCCGCTGAGTAGGGAGCCCGATGTGGGACTCGATCCCAGGACCCAAGGATCATGACCTGAGCTGAAGGCAGATGCTTAACCAGCTAAGCCACCCAGGCACCCCGAGTCTCCAGAACTTTCTGACAAAACCTTTTAATAGTCTGCTTTTTTGCCTTTGTTCAAATCAGTCCCTCCATGTTTAATGCGTGTCCTGCCTTCCCAACTGTTAAAATCCAACCTTCAGGGCGCCTGGGTGGCTCAGTTGTTAAGCATTTGCCTTCAGCGCAGGTCATGATCCCAGGGTCCTGGGATGGAGACCCGCGTGCTCCCAGCTCTGCGGGAAGCCCTGCTTCTCCCTCTCCCACTCCCCCTGTGTCTCTGTGTCAAATAAATAAAATCTTTACAAAAAATAAAATAAAATCCAACCATCTTTTTATTTCGGGGGTTCAAGTCAAATGTCACTTTCTTTATGAAGTCTTCCCTCATGATCTCAACCACAGTTAATTTTTCTTTCTCTAAAGTCCTACTTTAATAGGTTTATCCCTCTCTCTTCAATTCCAGAGAATAGTATAACAAATGTTTCGGTATTGAAAACCACAGAGGGATCTCTTCAGTGAGCTTTAAGGGGGTTGCTGTATAGGGCCCCTGAAATTCTTGCACAGTAGCCATTCATTGTTCATGACTTTCCCTGGAGAGGTACCCCTCCCACTCTTACTTCACGTGGTTCAGGTGGAGCTAACTGCCTTCTGAGTTCCAGGGGGGATGCTATGGCCCAGTCCTGACTAGTCAAGTCATCTCTTAGCCTGGCTGCCATGATGTGTTCTAGATGGGCCTGTGATCCAGTGAAAACCAGCCAGGACTTGGACTGGAATAATTAGGGATGTCCTACTTGAAATAGGGAAGTAAGACAGCCTTCTTTATCTGGAAGGAGAACATTCTTTACTTTGGACTGGACCTTGGAAGGATAAACACCTGGATCTGCTAGAATTCACCACCTGCAAAGAGCCTGCCTCTGACTGAAGCCAACACAAAGGGAAGCAGTGTCAAAATGGTGAGAGATAGGGGCGCCTGGGTGGCTCAGATGGTTAAGCGTCTGCCTTCGGCTCAGGTCGTGATCCCAGGGTCCTGGGATCGAGCCCCGCATTGGGCTCCCTGCTTGGCGGGGAACCTGCTTCTCCCTCTCCCTCTACTGTTCCCCCTGCTTGTGCTCTCTCGCTCTATCAAATAAATAAATAAAATCTTTAAAAAATAAATAAATAAATAAATAAAAATTAAAAAAAAAAAACGGTGAGAGATAGATGCCTGACCACAGTGTTGAAGACTCTGGATCCAGCCACACCTGAACTCTACCCTTGAACTTTTCAGTTATGGGAGCCAATAAATTTCTTTGCCTGGTCAAGGCACTTTGAGTTGTTTTTTCTGCCACCTGTAACGAAATGAACCCTGATTCATTTGAACTACCTATGTTGGACCCAAGGAAGGATTCAAGTCAATCCTCTGGAGGTGAGCTGTATAATAAAGTCTGGATCCCCCAGTGCTCATAGGGGCAGGTGCAAAAGAGGACAAGAGCTCACAAGGCAAAGATGGAGAGGAGACATCCAAGGACAAACATCTGAATGGAAGTGAGGGTCACCGGGATCCAGTGAGTCTTCCCACCTCATTTCACCAGAAGTTCATGCCATCACACAGTAAGAATCATTACAGTGTTGAGAGAAAGTGTTGGCAAAGATTGGGAAATGTTGCACTGGATTTCCACTTTTCATGTCTGTTGCCTCCCTATCCCCCAGGTCTGTCTAAATGCTACCTTGCCAGAGAAGACTGCCTGATTCCCCGACCTCAAACAGCCTCCCTCCCTATTTCCCTGAACACTTTGCCCATTTTCTGTTATCCATTATCACAATTTTAAGGCATTTTTCACTGTGCTCAGTTTTTTTGTCTTGTATCACCAAGTAGAATCCCCAGAGACACACAATGTATCCAGCTAGTTCACCAACGTACCCCTACCACTTGGCACGATGCCTGGCACACAGTTCAGTCTGATAAGGACTTTTTAAATGAATGAATGAATATCTGAGTGAGTGATCTATAGAGTTATAGGCAATATATGCTCTTTTGAAGTGGCATCAGATTGCTGCTTTCACATGATGGATTGGCTTCAGGGAGATTGTGATTATAAAACTCGCAGGTTCCATAGGGGAGTTTTGGTAATATCACACTCAGACTTAAATGTCTCTGAATGGGAATGTACGTCCAAAATAATAATAGCTAATATTTACCGAATGTTTGCATGGGGGGCACTTTACATATACCATCTCATCTAGCCCTCACAACTACCCTGTGAAGTACTTTTTTTAAAGATTTTATTTATTTGGGGCACCTGGGTGGCTCAGTCGCTTAAGTGTCTGCCTTTGGCTCAGGTCGTGATCCCAGGATCCTGGGATCGAGTCCCGCATCGGGCTCTCTGCTCCCTGGGGAGTCTGCTTCTCCCTCTCATGCTCATGCTCACTCTCTCTCTCTCTCTCTCTCTCTCGCAAAACTAAAATCTTAAAAGAAATCATCCTAAAAAAAAAAAAAGATTTTATTTATTTATTTGTCAGAGAGAGAGAAAGAGCACAACCAGGGGGAGAGGCAGAGGGAGAAGCAGGCTTCCCGCTGAGCAAGGAGCCCAATGCGGAGCTCAATCCCAGGACCCTGGGATCATGACCCGAGCCAAAGGCAGATGCTCAACCAGCTGAGCCACCCAGGCGCCCCAACCCTGTGAAGTATTAATATTATTCTCATTCTCACAGATGAGGAAGCTGAGGCCCAGAGAGGTAAAGTAACTAAGCCCCATTGGCTACACAGCCGGCAAATAACTAAGATTAAAACCCAGGCATTCCGACTCCAGAGCTTGTACTCTTAGTGAAGATGTTTGGGTATGAAGAGAAGAGAGAGATTTGAGGTCACTTTTGAACTTTTCCTATTAAGGCTTCACAATCAGATGTCACTAGTTGACTCATAACAATTTGTGCTCCCCAACTATCAGGCGTGCCCATTTTAAAATGAAAGTGCGAAAATACGATTCAAATAAAATTACTTTGAAGATGCGGTATTAAATTGTCCTTGCCACTGGAACCTGGAAAATGCAAGCTCAGCCTGCAAGGTGATAAGCCAAAATATATTTACTTGAATGACTGGACCAGTGTATCTGTAATGATTCCAAGACAATTAATACTAACATTTTTAGGCAATATTAACCCTCTGAAAAATGAATAGCTGTAAGATTTCAATCTCTCTGTTCATCCCTCTGGCTTCTCTACTAGTTTTTTCTCCTCTTAAATTGGTTTTTAAACTGAACTCTGTTAATGTAGTTCCACCAGGTCTGACTATTAATCTAGAAACATGCATTTAAGGGTTTGATTGGGAGCGAAAGTTGAGGAACTGACTGCAAATGATATATGCAAATGTTAGGTTTTCATATCGTCTTCAAACATATTGATAAATCTCACTGGCATCCGTGGGAATTAAAATCGGTGCAAAGGGAGATTCTCTCATTTCTAAGTTGGATATATTTTTCTGTTTTCTCCCAGACTGTAAATAGAAGGATTTTAACATCTGAAGGGTGATGTGGCACTTCTCAAACAGTCAAAATCAGTCTTTATAGAATGTCAAGATGGAAGAAACCTCAGATTGCTGGGTTTAGACCGTCTTGCAAATGAGGTGAGATGCCAAAGAGAGCAAGTGTGGTGGTGGTGGTGATGATGGTGGCATCAGCGGCCACAACAATGAAAACAATTTTTACTGAATTCTATGTGCCAGGCATTGTTCAAAATGTTTCACATGTATTGACTCGCATAATCCTCACGGCCAGGGTCTTCATGCTGCCCAGCTCCGGGGTTGGGGGCGGGGTGCAATTCACATTGTGTTGTGTTTGAATGGGGCCAGTCAGAGTTATGGGACATGGCAATACTGACTCCAAAAAGCTCATGAGACTGGGGGACATCCATTGGTTTTGCCTGCCCAGCACCCATCCTCCCTTTGTTTGAGAACACCATGCTTTTCCTTGGGTGAACTACCCTGTATTTGTTTCCTCTGGAGGTTGTTCCTTCTGGAGGTTCTAGAGAGAATTTATTTCCTTGCCTTTTCTAGCTTCCAGAGGCTGCCTGTAGCCACATCATCCATCTTCAGAATCAGCAGCCGAGTGCCTTCAAATCTTTCTCTGTGTCCTTCTGCGTCCCTAGTCACACGGCCTCCTGGATCTGTGGCCTCCCGTCTCCTTCTCCTAAGGACCCTTGTGATTACACTGGGCTCATCAAGAGAATCCTCCCATCTCAAGATCCTTAAATTAATCAGATCTGTAAAATCCCTTCTGCCACATAAGGGAACATCTTCAAAGCTCGCAGGGATTGGGGCATAGATGTCTTTGGGGGCCTTATGCAGCCTCCCACCGTCCATTCCCCCCTGTCAGTTCATAGGGTCATGTTGAGATGGACCCCACTCCCTGATGCATGCCTGGCCAACCAACATATTCTACTCCTGATCACAGTGACTGCTTGGGGTGGGCAACTGCGCGATTGGAGTCAATGCTGGGACTTTTTCAAAAATTCATGCAAGAGGGGCTCTTTCTTTATGGGGATGCTAAGTAGATAATATGTAAAACCGGTGTTGAATTTGACCACTGAGGGAGGGCTGCCCGAGCATGAAGATACCACAGAGCAGCTAAGACTCCCCTTTCTAGCAATACAGTGGGTTAACATCCCTCCCAGTTGAAACAATTAAATTCTGGAGAGACCTTCTTCTTTAACGCATGAAGGATTAAGTGACACAGAAACCAACTTCCTAAGCAATGAGAACACTGAACAAAATCTATGAAACAACTATATTCAGACACTGGACAATGGAGAACACAGGACTATGATCCTGAAAGAGGGAACATAAATAAGGAAAGCCTGAAATTGCCCTTGCTTACTGCCAAGAAGCATTTTCCAGGCCAGGGAGCAGGAAAGGGAACCCAAACAAACCCAGTGGTCCAGCTGAGCTGAAAACATAGAGATCCGAGGTCAGAGAGGCCAGGGTACCTGTAATCTGTGGGGGAAAGTACTGGAGAGTAGAAAACTTCAGAGAGAGAGAACACCAGAAGAGAAACTTGGCAGAAGAGAGAGAGGTCTTCCCCCGTCTGGCTGAGTACTGACCTCTCTACACAGACCAGGAGTGAAATCTACATAAGTATCAGGAAGACACATCAGAAAGTGATAGGCTGAACAATTCTCAGAGCTCATGTGGAGTTGGAAAGAGATCACATTCCCACCAGCCAGAACAGAGGGGTCTGGAAATACAGAGCGCATTAGGCAGAGTCTCCAGTAGAATCATGTCTGAATAATGGAGATAAGTTAACTACAGAATAAAGGTCACTCTGGACTTGCACTAATAATCCTCAAAAGGAAGCCTTGGGGCACCTGGGTGGCTCAGTCGGTGAAGCGCCTGCCTTTGCCTCAGGTCACGATCCCAGGGTCCTGGGATCCAGCCCCACATCGGGCTCCCTGCTCCGCGGGGAGCCTGCTTCTCCTCCCTCTGCCCTTCCACCCCCACTAGTGCTCTCTCTCTCAGTCTCTCTCTCTCTCTCGCTCTGCTCTCTCTCAAATAAATAAAATCTTTAAAATTTTTTTAATTAATTAATTAATTAATTATTTAAAAAGGAAGCCTCAAAAGGATCAGACTGATTTGAAAGTAATTTAAATGTATACCAGTAGTAATCCTAAGGGGCACATCCACCCCAATGTCCATAGCAGCAATGTCCACAATAGGCAAACTATGGAAAGAGCCCAGGTGTCCACCAACAGATGAATGGAAAAAGATGTGGTATATATATATACAATGGAACATTACTCAGCCATCAAAAATTGAAATCTTGCCATTTGCAATGACATGGATGGAACTGGAAAGTATTATGCTAAGCGAAATAAGTCAATTAGAGAAAGACAATTATCATATGATCTTACTGATAACGTGGAATCTAAGAAACAAAACAGAGAATCATAGGGGAAGAGAGGAAAAAATAAAACAAGATGAAACCAGAGAGGGAGACAAACCATAAGAGACTCTTAGTCATAGGAAACAAACTGAGGGTTGCTGGAGGGGAGGGCACTGGAGGGATGGGGTACTGGGTGATGGACATTAAGGAGGGCATGTGATGTAATGAGCACTGTTATTATATAAGACTAATGAATCACTGACCTCTACCTCTGAAACCAATAATACATTATATTTTAATTAATTGAATTTATTTATTTACTTTTAAAGATTTTCTTTATTTGTCAGAGAGAGAGGGTGTGCACAAGCAGAGGGAGAAGCAGGGTCCCCGCTGAGCAGGGAGCCTGATGTGGGGCTCGATCCCAGGACCCCAGGATCATGACCTGAGCCAAAGGCAGATGCTTAACCGACTGAGCCACCCAGGCATCCCTAATTAATTGAATTTAAATTTAAAAAACATTTAGGGGCACCTGGGTGGCTCAGTTGTTAGGCGTCTGCCTTCGGCTCAGGTCATGATCCCAGTATCCTGGGATTGAGCCGCACATCAGGCTCCCTGCTCAGCAGGAAGCCTGCTTCTCCCTCTCCCACACCCACTGCTTGTGTTCCTGCTCTCGCTGTCTCTCTCTGTCAAATAAATAAATAAAATCTTTAAAAACAAAATAAATAAAATAAATTTTAAAATATTTAAAAAAATAAATGAATGAATGAATGAATGAATGAATATATGCTGGAACAAAGCCCAATACCCTTCGAAGGAGTACAACTAAATCAAGCACTCAAAAAATATAAAATTCACAATGCCCATTAGCCAGCCAGTCAAAATTACCAGCCTTGCATATAAAATAAAAATACATAACCCAAAACTAAGAGAAAAATTAGTCTATAGAAACAGACTCAGAAATAACTGATGACGGAATTAGCAGCAAAGATTTTAAAGCAGCTATTACAAATACTGTATGTTCAAGGACATAAAGGAAAATATACACAAAATTAAGACAGAAATGGAATATTTAAAAGATCAAGCAACATCTACTTACCTGTCCCAGGGTCCATTCGGTCTGCTGGCTTAGGGAAGCCACGGTATCAATGGAGCTGAGATCCAGCTGCTGCAGCTCACTCTCATTAAGAGCCAGAGCAATGCGCCCCAGGGAGGTGATATGGTATTCTTTCCAGTAAGAAGGCATGTCCCAAACCTTCAAGTGAAAAAAAATCCAGATTAGACTGACCATTACTAACAGTATTTTAAACAGACATAGGGTAAATCTCTTTAATATATGAAGTTCTCTTATAAATCAATAAGGAAAGGACAACTACAACTGTATATATATGTGTGTACATATATGTGTGTGTGTATATGTGTGTGTATGTGTATGTGTGTATATATATGTATGTGTGCATATATGTATGTGTGTATATGTGTATATATACGTATATGTGTGTATATATACATGTATGTATGTATATATGTGTATGTGTGTATATACGTATGTATGTGTGTATATGTATGTATTTGTGTATATATATGTATGTGTGTATTTATGTATGGGTGTATATATATGTACGGGTGTATATATATATGGGTGTGTATATACATGTACGTGTGTATATATACATCTATGTGTGTATATGTATGTGTGTATGTATACATATGTGTATATATGCATATGTGCGTATATATATGTGTGTGCGTATATATGTATGTGAGTATATATGTGTGTGTGTATATATGCATGTGTATATATACGTGTGTATACAGGCATGTGTATATATGCATGTGTATATATACATGCATGTATGTATGTTTATGTGTATATACATGTATGTGTGTATATACATGCATGTGTATGCATGTGTGTGTATTATACATGTATGTGTATATACATGCACGTGTGTATATGTATGTGTATATGTATGTGTGCCTATATACGTGTATATACACATGTATGTGTGCATGTGTGTGTATACGTGTATGCGTGCATATATACATGCATGTGTGTATTATACATGTATGTGTATATGCATGCATGTGTATATGTGTGTATATATATGTATGTGTGTATATATATGTATGTGTGTATATATATGTATGGGTGTATACAGATGTATGGGTGTATATATATGTATGTATTATATATGTGTGTGTGTATATATATGTATGTGTATACACACACACACACACAAGTGCAGTATATACACACATATATACACAAACACAAAAGACATGAACAGAACAACTTTTTATCACCGGAATTTATTAGTCTGATTTCTTGGCCCTCATCTTGAATTGGCCACACACAGGGTCCCTGGCCAGTGGACTAAGGTTTTGTCTAAGATGACAAGGACAACTCAGGGGATGTGAGGGAGGGTGCTTTTATCTTCCTTATTATAGTTTGAGGTTTTGATCTTTACTGGCTAAAGAGGCCATTTATCTTTGTAAGCACAAAACATTTTTGCTTTCTCCAATTTTCTGCTTTTGGTGAAAGAAGAGAAGCAAATAAAGTTTTACTGATTTTTGGGGGAAAAAAAGATTAACACGAAATTCACAAAAGAAGAAACAGACATGGAAAAAAGTTCAATCTTGGTCATAATTTTTTTTTTTTTAAGATTTTATTTATTTGACAGAGAGACACAGCGAGAGAGGGAACACAAGCAGGGGGAGTGGGAGAGGGAGAAGCAGGCTTCCCACTGAGCAGGGAGCCCGATGCGGGACTCGATCCCAGGACCCTGAGATCATGACCTGAGCCGAAGGCAGACGCTTAACGACTGAGCCACCCGGGCGCCCCTTGGTCATAATTTTTTAAGTTCTACATTAACAACAATCAGAGAATACCATGTTAGCTGATCATATTGATAAGGAATAAAAAGAATGATCGATCATTTATGGTGTTGAAAAAATATGTGGTAAAGGATACTCTCATTTATTGATATTGAGAATATAAATCAGTACATAATTTTTGGAAGGGAATTTGATTATGCATATCAATAGCTTCTAAAATATTTATACACTTTGACCCCAAATATCCACCTCTGGGAATTTAGCCTAAGTAAATAATGAGAGACAAATGCCCCCCAAAATATGTACAAAATATGTACCTTGAAGCATTAAAAAATATAAGCAACCTAAAAGTCTACCAATTTGCTAAATAAATAAGGACCAGAAAAAAAAGGACCAACCATAATATGAAATATTATATAACTATTTAAAATGCTGATATAAATTTATATTTCTGATATGGAAAAATATGCGTTTATACCGTTGGGTGTTGACAGCAAGTTATTGAATAGTGGGTGAGCATGATATTATTTTTTTCTAACATATATGTGCGAGTATACATGAAATATATAAATACATTTTATACACATACACAGAAGTCTGGGGGAGCTTCAGGTGACTATACCAAAACAGTAACAGTGCTTATCTCTGGGTAGAAGATTATGACGGATTTTCTTTTTTATTACTTGTCCAACTTTTCTACAATAAACTTGGGTCATTTATATAAAAAAGAGTTATAAAAATAATTTTAAGGAACTTAATGTCGTTACCCCACAAGGATAACCAGATAGTCTACAACTATCCAAATGGCTGAAACAAGCCACTCAAAGGGAACTTTATAAAGATGGAAAAAGACTTGTAGTCTCCGTTTTACTCCTTCCTGCTATGTTTTCAGACAAATTTGCAATGGATTCTGAGAAAATCTGCTGTAAGCAGCAATTGAGGTTCTCCAAGTGGAGAAAGAAAAGGCACCATTCCTGGAAACTGTCTCAGAGGCACCAGAACACCCACAGAACTTTTTACTGAGTGTCCATGAGTTGCCAAGACACATCTCTGTTCTCTGCTACAGCCCTGAGAGGGAGGAACTACAAATTTCTCGGATGTGGAGCACACACCTATGGCACCGAGTTGATACAGAGAAATTACAATGGCACAACGCACCTGAAAACTCCCTGAGGTGGGTTCTACACACAGAAGTGCTGGGACCGTCATGCTGGGGTTTCCCTCTCCTGAAAGCTCCCTCCCTGAGGTGGGCTTTACCTGTAATGCCTTCTCCTTTAGGGTCATCAGCTGAGGCAGGCTGAAACCCCTGACGGCCCCCAGAAGCTCCACGCTCCTAATGAATGTCCGTTCCTCCATGCAGAGCAGGTCCTGGGGGGCCCAGCAGGCATTGGCTTCCGCCAACTTGAAGATGTCACCAGAAGAAGGAGCTATGACTCCATGGCAACCTCAAGAACGGGGAGGAAGAGAAGAAAGAGAGCTTCAGGGAATGTTAGTCTTTATTGAAATGAGAAATCTCCTTGTCTGGGTGGATTTATTCATGAGAGGCAGCATAGCGTAGACACTGAGAGCAGGGACGCCGGGAGCAGCTGGAATCCCACTTCTGCCACTTCTTGCTAATTATCTGGTAACAAAATCACCAAAATGCCAAATTTTGCACAGCCACATGCACACAGTAGGAGCTCTGTGACATTACAGGGGGGCTCCTAATCGCCTGGAGGGCAGTGGGAGCTGGTGGTGAACAGTTCTGGCTTCAGATTCAAATCCAAAGCTATTTAACCCCTCTCTGCCTCAGTTCCTTCATCAGTAAAATGAGGATAAAATTATCTCATCAGATTTTTGGAAGGATTAAATGTATTAAATTATATGAAGCACTTAGAATGATGCCAAGTATACAGTAAGCACTCAATACTTGTAAGCTATTTTTATTAGTTCTGTTACCAGCAGCTGCCACCTCACATTTGTTTGCAACCCAGAGTTAAGGCTTCCAGAATTACGAGGAAGAAACAGTCCTATTTAAGTGTGGTAAGGGTGGGATGCCTGGGTGGCTCAGTGGGTTAAGCGTCTGCCTTCGGCTCAGGTCATGATCTCAGGGTCCTGGGATCGAGTCCCACACTGGGCTCCCTGCTCACCAGAGAGTCTGCTTCTCCCTCTGCCTGCCACTCCCCCTGCTTGTGTGTGTGTGCTTGCGCGCACTCTCTCCCTCAAATAAATAAATAGAATCTTTAAGTGTGGGAAGGAAGAACGATTTGCCATCATGGAGGCTATGGTCTTCCTACTTTCTGGGAAAGAGGAGAAATGGGCCTGTTGCATTTTCCTTTGCAACAGGAGAAAACCCATCCATTTCAGTCTTTGACTAAGTTGAACATCACCTGGTCAAACCAGTTAACATCATCAACACACAAATGAGATATTTCTCCCCAATGTGCTCAACCTGGGAGAAAACCCAAGGCTCCTTGTCTTTTTTTTTTTTTTTAATTCATTTATTTGAGAGAGATGTATAGAGAGAGCAAGTACCTAGGGAGAGTGAGAAGGAGAAGCAGACTCCCCACTGATCAGAGAGCCAGATGCGGGGCTCGACCCCAGGACCCTGGGATCATGACCTAAGCCAAAGGCAGACGCTAAACCAACTGAGCCACCCAGGTGTTCCCCCAAGGCTCCTTGTCTGGAGAGCAATCCTGGCTTTCCTGTCTTAGCAGCCGTCCACCTCTGAGGCTCACAGACTCACCAGCACCACCCGAGCCAGAACATTCCCAAGCCCTGTGGCCACTCCATTCTCACTGCCTCTCAATGGCAACTCACTGGACTCCAGTCAAGAGGTGAAAGTGGACCAGACTGAGGTTGCCACGTGTGGTCCTCACACATCTTTACCACAAAAGACACAACCTTCCTAGACTCCCCCAACTCCACCCCCACTTTCCAATGAAAACAGGATCCAGTGATAGCACAGAATTAGAGAGGAACAAAATGGTTATACCTTGTGGCGGGGACTTGGTCTTATCCTGCTGTGGTCCCTGCCTGGCACACAGTAGGTGTTTAGCAAATATTGGTTGAATGAATCAACACACAAATTAACTAAAATGAAACCAACTAGTAATTCTGCTATGCCATTAATTACTATAAGCACAGCAATAATGAATATCCAGAACCACGGAAGAAAACTCCGACAATGCAGTCCTAGCAGAGGGTCCTCCCCAGAGTGCGGCGAGTCTTACTTTCGCGCGCCCGCACGCACAGAGCAGGTGGGCTGCCATGTGACAAGTGACTGCTGGGCTGTGAGAGCAGGAGGAGCTAATGGCGATCGCCACCAGCTCTGGGCACAGATCCAAGAGCTGCCATTGCTCACTCCATGACTTTGGCCAAGTCTCTTAATCTCTCTCTGAACCTCAGTTTACTGTGTCAAGAAAAGGGAAGCAAGCACAGCACCCACATCACAGGACAGGGGTGCACGGAGAGAGGACCACCCGAGTTAAACACAAATCGGATCGTGACACTTCTTTGCTTGGTGCCTCCATGAGACCCCAACCCAAAGACAAAGACAAAGTCCTTAGGGCTTCCTTTATAAGGCCCTATGTGGCCTTGTCTCTCGTGCACTCCAGTCACACTGGCCTCTCGTGTCCCATTCCTTTCTGTTCCTGTCACACTTCCATTTGCCTGGAAGACTGCAACGCCACATGTCCAAGCAGCCCACGCTCACGATCCCCGGGGCTTTCCCAAAACGTCCCCTTCTCAGTGAAACCTACCTCCACGGTTTTCTTGGCAAATTATAACCTCCCACCCCCCACTCCCTGATCCCTTCCTTGCCTTGCTTTCTTTTCCTTCTTGGCACTTACCATCCCCCAAAATACTATGTCTTTTATTTACTGTGTGCGTGATTCATTGTCGGGCACCCACCCCCACAGCCCAGCCCCTTGAAAGTAAGTCCTCTGAGGACAGGGATTTTTGTCCGTTTTGTCCACACAGTCAGTGCTCAATAATTATTTTTTGCAAGAAAGCAAGCAAGCACTGACTGCCAGCTATTCTTATTACAATTAGGATTGGGTCCGATTAACCTTGTCCCCTCCTGTTTGGCACCAAGTCTGTGCTCAGTGGGTGCACAAAAATCATAAAAAGAGCTAACCCCTATGGAGCATTTCCTACACTGCCCGGCACTGTTGTGAACACCTTTACAGGTTTCTTTTTTTTTTTTTTTTAAGATTTTATTTATTTATTTGACAGAGACAGACACAGCGAGAGCGGGAACACAAGCAGGGGGAGTGGGAGAGGGAGACATTTACAGGTTTCAATCCACTAACCCTCATAACAACCTAAGGAGATCGGGACTGTCATTCTCCCCATCTTACAGAGGATGAACATGGAGGCACAGAGAGGTTAAAGGCTTACCCAAAGTCCCACAGCCAGTAAGCAACAGACCCAGGGTTCACAGCCTGGCCCCAGCACTGCAATACACTGTCACTCAGCCATTTACAACCTTTAAGTCAATTCTTTTGAAATGTTGGTTGCCATGGACTGGCCTGGGTAAGGAGCACAAGATGTGATTCCAAATCACTTTACTACAGGGGTCATTCTTTGGCCTGTGGCTTTTTGCCATGATGCTTTGCAAACATTGCATCCAATCCCCTGGACAAAGGAGGCCTCTGGATGCCAGGGACTCAGGCCAAACACCTGATGCTCAGCTCCAGCTGAGACACCCCAGAAACACTCACCGGGGCTGGGGGCAGAGCTGGGGCTCTTCTCACTGTTGTTCCGGACAGAGTCAAAGACAGCCCAGAGGAATTCTTGGGGGGGCACGGTCCCGGCTATCTTGGAAGCTGTCTGCTGAAGGATATCTGGAAACTGTGTGCAGGAAAGAAGAGGAAGGAGGAGAAACAAATAATAATTAAAGCACATTAAACACAGATTTACACTGTGATACTACTTACTCCCTCCCTCAGGGATTGTGTTTCTTCTATAGCAGCTTCTTATATAATTGCATCCCCTAGCTCAACTAACTTGGTCTCTACAAAGAATCATACAAAATAATACTTAACCCCATTAGCAATCCACTAAATGTTCAATACCACAAGTATATATTGTTTTTCACCCATCTGATTACCAAAAATAAAAGAAAGTGAGAATACCTAAAAATAAGATGAAGTGATAACACTTAATGCTGAGCAAAATGCAGTAAATATGCACACTTATTCTTCTATGGGACTGTTAAATGGTACAGAATTACCGGAGCAACCTGGTAAGATCTATAAAAAATGTAGGGGAGCGTACCCCGTTTTGGTCTGGTATTGTTTTTAAATTTTTACCAAACTTTACATTCATCATAAAAAGGAGAAAGAGAGGGGGCGCCTGGGTGGCTCGGTGGGTTGAGCGTCCAACTCTTGATTTTGGCTCAGGTCGTGATCTTGTGGTTGTGGGATTGGGCTCCATGCTCAGCGGGAAGTCTGCTTGAGATTTTCTCTCTCTCTCCTTCTCCCTCTGCCCCTACCTGCCCTCCTCATGCTCTTTTTCTCTCTCTCTCTCAAATAATTAAATAATTTTTTTTTTTTTTTTTAAGTAGAAAGAGAGGATGGTCTCTAATTCTGAGTGGAGACTAGCAATGAGGGAGCTTCCAGTTGCCCTAGAGAAGATGCCATTTCTCATCTAGAACCAGTGCGATTTGTCAAGACCCAGGATATTATTGGTAGGCCCGACAATGAGTCCAGAGCATTTATCAAACTCTCCTACACAGCTATGTGTCACTGGGTCCCATTCTGTCCAAAGAGAAAGCCCCTCAGGTTATAATAGCTCCTCTTTCAATTCTAACCTTCAGAATTAGTGTCCCACTCTAAACCTGTTGTTCCCCATCCTAGCTGTAGGTGACAATCACCCGGGAAATCTCTGGACACCAGGCCCCACCCCGAAGATTCTAAGACCATTGGCCTGGGGTAGGGGCCATGTAGGTGTCCTTTTAGAATCTCTCCAGTGATTGTCATGTGCAGCTAAGGTCACAAGCAACTCACAAGAGACACAGTTAACTTTTAAAAAGCAAAATGCACAGCAGAGTGAATGGTATTTTCCATTCTGTATTTTTTAAGGGAAGAACATATATAAGTAGGAGGAGGATTTTCCTGAAAGGATGCAGAAGAATCTGGGAAGAGTGATCACCTCTGGGGAGACAGGCTGGGGACCTAGAAGTGGCGGTGGAGGAGAAACTTGCTGTCATCCTGTAGCTTTTGGTATAGTTGAAATGTCTTAACCAGGAGCATGTATTACTTGTCTTATTAAATATTTCAGTCATTAAAAATAAAATAGAATAATACAACACAACAGCCATGTATCCACACCTAACTTAAGAAATAGAAGATCACAAATATGGTTGATTGGTCCTTCCCTCCCTCTTTGGTCTCCTTCCTTCCCCAGAAGTAACCAGCACCCTGAATTTGGCATTAACCATTCTCATGCACTTCTAAACTTGACTTAACATCTAGAACTGTTTTTGCATGTGCTTAAAATTAATGTAACTATTTTCATGATAAAAAAAACCCACCACCATTAAAGCATTTTCATAGTGAAAAAAATTTTAACTAGTATTTGTTTATTTATTTAGTATCCTACTGTATGCACTCTTTTGCAACTCACCTTTTTTAACCCTGCACTGTGTTTCTGAGATTTAACTGTATTGAGATAAAACTTTTTCAATTTCAAAAGTTGATCTTTAGAAGATAAGTATATAATATACATGCATCTGCTACTTATGACTATGTGGACACCCCAGAAGACGGTTTTACCATGCCTGGACACTGGAATGTACACTGTGTGTGAACCTGGGTGACACGCTGTGTGTTCAGGTTCTGCAGAGCACGTATGACAACGTACATCTTGCACGCACATGTGCGGGGATGAGAGTGTGTGGATGTGCCTTGCAGTCCATCTGAGTCTCATCCAGCAAATACTTACTCCCTCCCCACTCTCCACTTCTGCATGAAGGAGACTACTTCCTGCCCCCTGAGGTTGAGCTTGGTCATGTGACTTGCTTTGGCCAATGGAAAATGACAGTGCTGTTTCCCAGGGGAGGCCTTAAAGAAAATTGCACTCTGGTGCTCCCTCCTTTGGAGTTTCAGACCTCCATGGTGTGAAGAACAAGCGCCAGGTAGCCTGAGCCCTGGAAGCAGAGCAGTCCCGGTGACCCACAGACCAGTCCTCAAGAAATTAATACTTATTGTTGCGTGCCAATGAGATCATGTGGCTTGATTATACAGCAAAAAGATGACCAATTGGTACCTGTTTGGCACAGCTCTTGGCCTACGCTGTCTAACTTCTGGAGAGTTGCTCCAAGCAAAGTGTGTGTCCAAAGGCAATGCTCCATAAGGATTTGGTTTTGGATTAAATGTGTTTACACATGTGATTGCACACACTGGACATAGATGTGCATGTGTATATGGCACTGCTGAATATTAGCCCTCAAACAGGCATGCATGTGGGGAGCACACAGATAGCAGGGTGGTAACTGACCTACAGCTCCCAGTCTGGGCATGTGTGCCCGGACAGAGGGCCATGTGAAAAGCCCAGAGTTGGTTTCGCTGCTGTCTCACTCCCTTTTCCCAAACCTTGGGTATCCTGGAGCAGAGCTGGGAACATCTGAGCCCTTTGAGGCAGGGAGGAAGGTTCCAGAAAGCAACCAGGCAGTAAACCCAAGGGGGTATATAACTGACCACACTTTCTCTCCCCTTCAAACCCTTTCAGCCTTCCAAAGATGGAACACAGAGGTACCTTTGTGGCAACAGAGCTTAATTCGTCTCCTGAAAAAAGTACCAGAAAGGGTCCCAAGTCCTTTGTCGTCTCGGCCGTCCAGTTCTGGGGAAGTCTAGGAAAAGAAGATAAGCAGTCGTCTGAAACACTGTGCTGTTTTCTCTGTCTCCCAGCATCCTTTTCTTACAGGAACAGGCCAACTTCATACCTGGGCAAGTCCCACTTCCCTGACCAAGAGAACAGGCATGTGATGCAGGGTAGCACATACAGGACACCAGGTCACCCTTGGGAATTTTGTTGGAACTACTGGAGAAGCCCTCTTCCTCCTGGTATCTCTGGCAGTAAAGAGAATACTGGAAGTTGTTCCCATTACCAAGTAGAGAGAATAGAGGCCACACCAAGGAACACAGAGCTGAGGGCTGGGAGGAGCATATTCCCAACAAAATCACTTGAGCCTCTGGATCCAGTCAGGCCTGGAGTATACCCCTGGAGTTTTCCATTACATTCTGTTTCTGAACTCAATAAATTCCCACTTCTTTTTTAGCTTGAATTGTTGAACTTCTGTCACTTACAGCACAGCCTGTACTTCCTCTTCCATTACTGTCCCCATTCTACAAATGTAGAAATTAAAGTGCAAAAAGATTAAATAGCTTTTCCCAGGTCACATAGACAATAGAGCGTACCACCACGTACACAAAACTTGAACCCAAGGAGTCAGCCTCTAGAGTCCATGTCCCATGTGCCTGGGACAGAGTAATTACTCCAGAAACATCTGCTGTTTTTAACCGCTGACTGATGGCTAGGTCCTACTCAAATATCCACCCCAACTTCAGAAGACTCTACATGAGAAAAAACAGTTCTGTGTCTGTGCCCTCCCCCGCCCAGAGCTGCCCCAGACCCAGAGCTGACAATGCTTTGATCATCTGCATTACTGTTACTGTTTGTTGTTGTTATTACACAAGAATAAGGATGCACCTCCTTGCATTTGTAAAGTGCCAGCTTTTCAAAACTCCTGTCCTTAAATGTGCCAAGATCGTACTGGTGACAACCACGGAGGCCTGCAGAGCAGCTACTGTCCTCACTTTACAGGGCATCTGAGGCCCAAAAAAGAAAGGTCACATTTCTAGAATAAATGAAAGCGGCTAACCTTGTGCTAAGCAGGAGACTCTCTTGTTTGGAGGGCAGGAGCACCAGGGTTTGGCACCCCTTGTGCAGCGCTCAGCCCCCCCACCCTCCCCATCCCTGGGGCCAAGCCTGGCCCCTCCTCACCCGTGCTGTTCCAGGAGCCTGAGCCTCACCGCAGCCTTCTGCTCGGGGCTGAGGTCTGGGCAGTCTCTGAGCCCGTGCAGGGCTGTGGCCCAGGCCAGAGTGGAGACCCCGCGGTGGAGGACGGCTGCCGGCAAGTGGCAGAGCAGTTTGCCCACGATGTCTACCGCGTACTCATCAGCAATGAAGTTGTCCTGAAACCGACAAGCGGAGCTGATGGGAAGATCCAGCAGGGCTCAAGATCGTGACCCCTCCACAACACATCCCGATCCCCAACCTCGTGAAGAGGTTCCAGGACCTGAATCACCCACCCTACCATGGACTAGAAGAGACAGAACAGGGTCTGATTTTACCCCAGGGAGGCAGGCCTTGGAAGTCTAGGAGGCCCTACCAAGGAGCCGGTGTGGGCAGAAGACTTGGCACGTGGTGAACACTCCATAAATGAGGACTGACGTCATTGTTGGTGCCATTGCTCTGAGGATACCCCAGAGTTCAACGACCATGCTAATAATACTACAGCAAGAATAAAAACAGCACTTCAAAATCTGTATGAGACTTGAAAGCCTCTAAAGCTCTTTCCTCAATGACAAAAGGAGATAGATTGAGTATTTAATACATGCCAGGCAGTGTTCTAAGAGCTTACACTTCCTAATCTTCATCTTCAAAGTAACTGTAAGAGATAAGTACTAATATCACCCACTTTTTAAAGATAAAGAAACTGCCAGCCAGTGGCAAGCCTAGGGGTCACACTCAGACAATGTGCCCCTTGGGCCTTGGCATTGAACAATTTATTGCCTATTTCATGCCCTCAATAACTGTGCAGGAAGTACTCTTGCATCCATCTTAGGGATGAGAAGACTGAGGCTCAAGGAGGGGAATAACTTGCTGGAAGCCACATAACCAATTACCGCCAGAGGCCAGCCTAGATCCCAGACTGTGTACTGTGATCTTTCTAGTCCCCCAGAGCAGCCTCCCATCGTTCAAGCCCCAGGATGGCAGTCCTCAGAACCGATGGCCAAGACTGCCCCACCCAGGGTCCCAGGGCCAGCTCTGAGACCCACAAGTCAGACTTCAAGCCATCACCGCAAGCTCAAGTTCCCAAGCCAGATCCCCTGAGGGCTCCCCAGGATAGCCATAGACACCCAGAGAGGAAAGAATATCAGGGAAAGTGTCACCCAGGAAGAGTTTCCTTACCAGGCACTGCTGTACCTTCCTAAGGACTGAATTCTTTTTGTGGGAATCTAAAACCAAGGAGTCCAACTGACTCTTCCCCAGGCTGATCAGAAAGGGCACACACTGGGAAGCTGGGACAGAAGCCAGGTAGCGAGCCCTGGAAAGAGACGGGGAGAATGAGAGGGGGAAAACAATGGCAGCTCTGCATTTGCCCCTGAAATCAGCCTCCACATGCCCAAGAGCTTATCCCAGGACTGTTCTATAAGTGTTTGTTCTCCCCAGGGATGTTGTGGCTCCTCTTGGGATGGAGCAAGCCTCCCACCCACCACGCCCCTCTTCCGTGGGCAGGGAAACAGACTTCCCATCCTGCCCCTCTTCTGTGGGCAGGGAAACAGACGTCCTATCCTGCCTCTCTTCTACGCCCAAGTAGCATCAATCAGAGAATGGGGTCTCCATAAACATATGTTGAGGGGCGCCTGGGTGGCTCAGTCCTTAATCCTCTGCCTTCGTTTCCGGTCATGATCTCAGGGTCCTGGGATAGAGCCCCGAGCAGGGAGCCTGCTCCTCCCTCTCCCACTCCCCCTGCTTGTGTTCCCTCTCTCGCTGTGTCTCTCTCTGTCAAACAAATAAATAAAATCTTAAAAAAAAATATGTTGCCTGATGGACTGGTTGAGGGGAGATGAAGAGAAAGAAAAAGAAAAGGTAGGGACGCCTGGGTGGCTCAGTTGGTTGAGTGTCTGCCTTCGGCTCAGGTCATGATCCCGGGGTCCTGGGATCGAGCCCTGCATCGGGCTCACTGCTCAGCGGGAGCCTGCTTCTCCCTCTGCCTCTGCTGCTCCCCCTGCTTGTGCTGTCTGGCTCTCTCAAATAAATAAAATTAAAAAAAAAAAAAAGAAGAAGAAAAAGTAGAAGTAAGAGATAAAAAACAGAGAGAATAAGATAGAAAGTGAGAAAGAAAGACAAGGAGAGAGCAGGAAAAAGTAAGAGAAATGACACCTGATTCTGGCATCTCCAGTCCAGAACACCCCCCACCCCCGCAAACTCTTGACCATGTATTCTTAATAGAGGGAATATGGCCCCCTAGGGGGAAAAACTGGTTCGGGTAGAGACAGCGGAAAAAAAAAAATCTTAGTTATTACAATGATTTGTGACCCACTAAACCTCAATCCTATTCAACAAAATCTTATTCCTGGTAAATTCTCTCATTCAGGAGAAATTAAATTGCTCCCTTTAGGGAGGCAATAATGAAACAGAGGTTGAGAAAGACCGCTCTAGACCCACATGGCCTACTCATCATGACCGGTAGACTGTTCCAAAACCAAATTCTACATGTTCTTCCTCTTCTATACCAGCCCATGTGTCTTTTTCCCTTTATTCCCAAATCTGTCATTGCTACCAGCTTAATATTACTCAAATCTGTTCTTGCCTCTCCATTCACAGGACTGCTATCTTATTTATCTCTTCATTCATTCAGCAAATATCTGCTGCATGCCAGGAACTGTACTGGGCACCAGCTACAAACATGAACACTAGATGAGGGGCAGGTCCCTGTTCTCAGGATGCTTCATTCCAGTAAGGTAAAGGCAAGAGAAACCAGTGAATAAAACAGGTCATTTCAGCCAGTGATAAACGTAAGGAAGAAAACAAAATGGCTCTGCAATGGAGAATGATGGTGAGGACAGCTGGGGAGCCTGTTCTAAGACACAGGTACTTAAGCTGAGATGTGGATGAGTAGAAGGAGAAAGCCACGCCAAGGTCCAGGATCTAGAAATAAGCTTCCATGTCTCCCTCCTTCTGGCCAGGCCCCCCTGCATTCTGTCCACTATGTGGAAAGAGGTAATGATCTCTCTGAAACATAAATCTGAGGATCTGTGCCCAGAATACAGGTGGAACACCTCATGGTGTCATACAAACCTTCCCTGATTTGACTGTTACCTCTCTGGCATTCTGTCCCCCAACTACTCTGCAGATACACACCCTTCACTTCCCTTGCCCATTGCTGGACCAAACATTCCTTGTGCCCCTGCCTGGAGTGTCCATCTTGAACTCTGAAACCCCAGCTCATTCTCTGAGCTTTAGTTTAGTCTCCTCCAGCTCTCCAGTCTGAAAGAGTCACACCCCCCTCTGTGCCCTCTATCCATCACCCTTTCCCATGGTAACAGCACCTGGCTTTCTTGGAGAATCACCCCCTTCAAGTCCTTGTGGTTTGGGGTGGACCCCACTTCACTCTCAGCTCCAGGGGTACAATACCAAACTAAGCCAGTCAGAGTTGTCCATCCACCACAACCCCAGTCAAACCCACGACTTACTGAGAAGGATTGGGAAAAAAAAAGTCTTTTAACCAGGAGGATATAGCCTTGAATCGGCCAGAGACCACTACAGAGAAAAAGATGCCTGACACAGAAGCCTACAGAGGAAAGCCGGGCCAAAAGACAGATGGCTGACCACTGAGTCCCTGGATCCAGTCATGCCTGAAGTCTATTCCTGGAGTTTCCAGTTACCTGAACCAAAACTGACTTTTATTGCTTAAGCCAGTTTGAGTTAAGGCTCTTATCACTTTCAACCAAATATCAACTTGACATTATAAATGGCTTCATGCTTATATATTTCCTCCTCCCAGAGACTGTAAGCTCTTATAAGGGGAAAAACAAATTATCTTTGAGAACTACTACATAGTAAGCATTCAGTAAATTTTTTTCGAATAAATGAAGACAATTAACAGCAAGAGAAGGAAGAGGGAAATAAAGAGAAAAAGAGTGTCCAGACTGTGTTTGAAAAAGCAGGGCTCCCCCTCCCAGTCCTGAACGCCCACACATACCAGGAGAAATTCCCACGACTCACATCAGCCTTGATCACCCTGGAGCCTGGGCACAGCTGGAAGGCCTGCCCAGATGGGACCTGCTTCACCGGCACTCACTCGGGCTTGGATTGCTTTGGCTTTGGTTTTTAAATAACGGGGGGGAAAAAAAGGCAAGAGACTCTGTCTGCAATATCTATGTGGGGTTCAGAATTTAAATCCTGGCTTAATTCTGGAAGGCACTCTCCACTCTGGCTCCTCACAAAAAGCCGGGGGTGAGATGACTTGGATGACTCCCACCAATCTCATTGTTGGGCCAGAGAGGGGAGCCAATGTTCACTTACGGGAGTGCAGTCAAGAGGAAGGGTGGCGTAGAGGATCTGGAGACCTCCCAGTATTTCCACGCCAAACAATTAACCTGAAAGATTAAAGCAATTCTAGGAATTTAGTCCAATAATCATAAGAGCAAACAAAACTGTGCTTTCTTTGGGCCAGGCACTGTTCTAAGTGCTCTATATATGTTTACTTATTATTGAAGAGAACACCCTACGAAGTAGGTACCACTACTGTGCCCAGTTTAGGGATGAGCACACTGAGGCGATCACAAGACGAACACAAAAATTTAAGTCTGAGAATGCTCACCTTGTTTTGTTTATAACTGCAAGAAAGTGAGATGTTAAATTCATTAAACAAGGAGGCCATTAGACTGAAGTGGCCCTGATGACAGGGCGCCCTACGTAAGCACACCAAAATCGAAGTCCATAAATGCCTCAAGGTTATGAAATCAAAACACCAACAACAACCAATCACCAAGAGTCAACTAGGCTTTAAGCTACAACCAGTCAAATAATTTCTTTTTCTGCATCTGCACTTTCTCTGCACATGTCTCTTCCCCTGCAGGGCACTCTAAACAACTTCTGGTTCAGCGCTGCCCGATTCCAATCGATTTTCGCTCAGAAAAACTCTTAAAATTTCTAATATGCCTAGGTTTACCTTTTAACAGAGCCATAATGTCACTGTCCCTCGGTCTGGGATTGGTTAGGTAAGTTATGGTATATCCATACAACTGAATGCTATGCAACTACTTTGTTTCAAAAGGTAGATTTATATCTATTAACATGGAATGATGGCCATGACCTATTTATGTACATACACACGCACACGCCTGTGCTATAAAGTTAAACAGAACAACGTATATAGTATGAACTCATTTGTGTTTTTTTAAATTACATGTAAATACATTTTATAGACACAAAAAAACTCACAAAGTCGATAGCAAACTTTTCTTCGTGGTTACATTAAGAGAGATTCTCAGGGCGCCTGGGTGGCTCAGTTGGTAAAGCGTCTGACTTTGGCTCAGGTCTTGACCTCAGGGTCCTGGGATCAAGCCCCGCATCGGGCTCCCCACTCAGTGGGGAGTCTGCTTGTCCCTCTGTCCCTCCCCAATGCTAGAGCACTCCCTCCCTCTCTCTCTCTCAAATAAATAAATAAAATCTTTAAAAAAAAAAAAAGAGGAACTCTAAATCTCAGCACCTTTGAGATTTTGGGTTGGAAAAGCCTTTGTTGTGGGGCTGTTCTCTGCATTGTAGGAAGTGAGCAGCATCCCTGGCCTCTACTCACTAGATGCATCCCCCCAGGAGCGACAACCAAACGTGTCTCCAGGTATGGCTAAATAGTTCTCCAAGAATCACTGCTCCAGGGGAAATTTGGGGAAATTTTACTCTCTATATATTGTTTTATTCTTTAATAATAATTATGTGTTTTCAGCAAAAGTGTAAACAACAAAGGCAAATTTTCTAATTAACTGGTATTTGAAGCTCCTGAGCATTGAGGGATTCTAGGTAAGGAGCTTTGTTGGAACAATTCTTCCTCCTTGAACATGGAGGTCTTCCTCAAAGTAGGTCTGACCTCCACCCATTGGATCAGTTTGATGAGTATAAAGGAGACCGCCATGCCAGGGTCCAGGTTACTGAAATAATTTGCTTTCCTCCCTGCCTAGGCAAGACTTCTAATACAGTTCAATAGTTCTTACCAGGGAACTTTTATAAATGTGAATTATCAGGCTTCACCCCAGAAATTGGAAGTGAGGCTCTGCAATCTGTGTTGTTGTTGTTATTGTTGTTTTCATCTGTGGGGTTTTTTTAAACAGCTTTATTGAGGTATTTTGAAATGAAAAGACCTGCACGTATAATGCATACACTTTGATGAATTCGGACATAGACAAGCACCCGTGATACCATCACACAATCAAGGTAGTAGACACATCCAACACCTCCCAGAGTTACCTTTATTCCTTTTTGTTTTTGTTTTTGTTTTTGTGGTAAGAGCACTTAACATGAGATCTACCCTCTTAACAAATTCTGAAGTATACAATACTGCATTGTTAATGATAGGCACTGTGTTGCACAGCAGATTTCTATAATGTATTCATCTAGTAAAACTGAAACTTAATACCCATCAAACAACCCCAGCGTTCCAGGCAATGCTGATACTCAAATTGGAGAACCACTGACTGAATGCAAGGGAATGACAGGGCTTTGTGAAAATTTTGCCTATTCCTCTAATGATCTTGGATTATACACCAAGCTTTAAGCTTATTTCCTGGCTCTCGGGGAGAGAATTCATTATTTGGAAACTTTTCATTCATATCTACAACACGCCAGGCCAGAGTTGGGAAGATGCCTTGTATATCTGCCTGCTCACCCTCTCAGGACTCTGTCCCACCAAAAGTTTAGACTCCCAAATCCAAACACTGTTCCCAAGGCCCGATTTTACTTGCTTAGATCCAGTGAAAAGTCAGTTTCCGCCTCTGGTCTCCCCAAAAGTTATCCTTATTTTAACCAGACATGCTATTGCTATCTGCGAGGTGTTGGTATTTTAAGAGTCTCCCTAACCATTTGGAAAATGAAGTATTAAATGAAGAAGAAAATACTTTTATTAAAGTACTGTTCCCGGGGGGTGGGGGGATGGGTTAGCCTGGTGATGGGTATTAAAGAGGGCATGTTCTGCGTGGAGCACTGGGTGTTATGCACAAACAATGAATCATGGAACACTACATTAAAAACTAATGATGTAATGTATGGTGATTAACATAACAATAAAAAAAAAAGTACTGTTCCCATTCCAGGCTACCTCCGGAAAGGACAGGAAGGAGGGAAATGACTTTCAGTCTCAGAACGTAATTACGAACATGCCAAAAGGTATACCCTACAACTGTATTTTATCTGAGTTTCGATCTGAGTTTAGAATAACCAATCTGGTGAAGCTCTGGCTGTAGAGACAGGGGTATCTGGAGCTTTTAAAAAAGAAACTGGAGGGGCGCCTGGGTGGCTCAGTCATTAAGCGTCTGCCTTCAGCTCGGGTCATGGTCCCAGGGTCCTGGGATCGAGCCCCGCATCGGGCTCCCTGCTCGGCGGGAAGCCTGCTTCTCCCTCTCCCACTCCCCCTGCTTATGTTCCCTCTCTCACTGTGTCTCTCTGTGTCAAATAAATAAATAATAAATAAATAAAATCTTAAAAAAAAAGATAAAAAAGAAACTGGAGAAAACCTGGCTCAATATTTGGCCCCACATCATCACTTGCATGGGAATAATCCTGGCACAAATATCTTAAGCTGCCATAGTCAATCCAGGCAGGGAGAGAGAATCAGAAGCTCGAACGTGCTGTAATGGTACCTGATAGGGTGAGAGCAGGGAGAGGTTGTTCTCAAAATAGTGGAAATGGGTCAGAAAGGAGTCCGCACTCATGGCATCAATGTGGGAGCATGTCACGCCTTTGACCAGCTGCCCTGTGCTGGAAAACAGAACAAGGGACCCAGGAGAAAAAGGGCTGGGGAGGGGAGAAGAAAGAAGGGGCAAGAGAAAGCAGGTCTGATGGGCACAGGCTACAGACTGACTGTCCAACTCTCCCTCCTGGGGAAATTAGGCTCCAAAGGGCTCATCAGCCCCCAGGCCAAGTATACTCGCCTACCTCAGGAGCTCCTCGGGCCTTCTGGTCGACTTTGACAGAAGCTCATACAGGAACAAGGCCTGAGGGAAGAGAATGGTTGCCAGTACGGATAGAGCACTCACTTATTTACTCACTCACCCTGAGGAGCACAGTGTGTGCCCAGCACCGTGAAGCCCTATGGGGAGGACACACTATGATCCCATTTTACAGATGGGGAAATGGAGGCTTAACAGGCTATGTTATTCACCCAGGCCCACACAACTGCTAGGTGGTAGAGCTGGGATTTGAACCGGTGTCAGAGTGATTGCAGAAGGCATGCTCTCACACCTGGAGGATCCCCTGTGCTCTAGAACACAGATGAGGAGCAAAGCCGTCAGGAAGCAAGGCTGGAGGTTTATTTCCTATGCTTTGTGAAGCTGCGGATCAGCTGAGGACCCTCCACAGCCCCTTCCATGCAAAAGGAAGCAAAAGAGAAGATGGATGAACAGACCAGGACAGGCTAGAAAGTACCATCAATAAAGTAACTCCTACTTGCAGCACACGCTGCCCTCCAACCCTCCCAGATGGGTGCTCTAGAAGAACAATACCTAGTAGGCAGGGGAGTCATTTGTTTTAAGGAACGTAATTTTACAGAACACCTAACTTGCAGATGCGATCAAGTATGACATTCATCTATTTTATAGACTCTGAAACTTTGAACATAATTCCCCAAAAGGAATAAATTATGAGCCAGCGTTAGGCAGAGGCATCTGTGATGTGACAGCCAGGCCCAGGAGAAAGGAACAGCTAGGGAGGTAAGCTCCCAAAGCTCCGTGTGCGGCCCCAGACACTTCCTCAGGCGCAGGATCAAGTTCTGGAACCCTATCCCACCCCAGTCTTCCCCATCGCTAAGATTCTTTCCCTCCCTCCCCACCACGCCCCTCCCCACCACGCCCCTCCCCACCACGCCCCTCCCCACCACGCCCCTCCCCACCACGCCCCACCCCTCAGCAGGCGCACGCATGCTCTCTCTCTCTCTCTCTCTCAAGCTCTAAAATAAATAAATAAATCATTAAAAAAAGAAAGAAACTATCCCCATTTCACACTGAGAAAACTGAGGCTGAGTGAGAAGTGGCTCCCCCAAAGTTAATAAATGGTAGCACCCAAATTCATGCTCAGGTCTTGTCCAACTTCTTAATACTATGGGGTTCTGCCCCTTGAGTGTAATCACACAGAAATAAATTTCTTTTACCAAATTAACCTTAAAACGGAGCTTTCCCACAAGGCAGAGAGTCAGAAATCCAGGAGCGATCTAGGCATCATGGTTGTGATATTATGATTTACAATAAGAAATCTATATTTGTTCTTATCCCCTTTTCTGGCACCAGCTCCTAAAACCCTGGGAATTTCCTAAGCAGGGAGAGCAATCAAGGCCTCTTTTCTCATGTTAATGAATGACTTTTTGGAAAGCACCTGAGGGTGGAGGGATGCTGCTGGAAGAACCAAACTCGTGAGTGGAGGGTTGGAACTTTCAGTCCCACCCTGGACCTCCAGGGAGGGGAGAGGGACTGGATGCTGAATCAATCACTAACAGCCAACGATTTCATCAAGCATGCCTATGTGATAAAGCCTCCATAAAAACCCAAAAGCACCCAGTTCAGAGAGCTTCCAGTTGGTGAACAGGTGTAGGTGCTGGGAGGGTGGCGCATCTGGAGAGGCCATGGGAGCTCTGCACCCATTCCCCACACCTTGTCCCATGCTTCTCTTCCTTCTGGCTGTTCCTGAGTTATATCCTTTTATAATAAAGCAGTGCTCTAGTAAGTAAAATGTTTCTCTGAGTTCTGTGAGCGCTCGACCAAGTTCATCAAACCAAAGTAGGGCAGGGCGGTCATTGGAACCTTTGATCTACAGCTGGTAGGTCAGAAGCACAGGGGACGAGGACTCGTGACTGGCATCTGAAGTTGAGGGGCGGGGGGTGTAGGATTATAGGGCTGAACCCTTGACCTGTGGGATCTGATGCCATCACCAGGTTGACAGTGTCAGAACTGAGATGAATCATAGGACACCCAACTGATGTTGGAGAATTCCTTGCTGGTGTGAGGAACCCACTCCCCCCAACATATACACATCCAAATTGGTATCAGAATCCTTAGTGGTCATACCTGACTCCTTCGAAGCTCCTTTTCCTTTAGGACTGTGGTGTTAAATCCGGGTTCCCTCCGTAAATCGAAAAGAGACACCTCCTTAAAGAAAGCCCCTTGTATTTCCACAATGCCTGAGGTAGTATCTCCTGCTTCAATCATCTGCCAAGAGTGAGGATAAACATAATAACCACCTTGTAGAAGGTGCACTGAACTTTGGGTAAGGGCAAGGCACTGTGTCAGTGCTTTCAGGGGCCATGAAATCCACCATATCTGCTCAGCAACCCTCTGAGGTAGGGGACTATCCTTACCCCCATTCTGCAGGTGAGAAAACTGAGGCTTAATAAGTAACTGGTTGAAAGTTGATAAGTAAGATTCAAGCACAAGTCCATCTTATTGCAGAACCCACATTCCTTATTTTAACCAGACATGCTATTGCTATCTGAGAGGTGTTGGTATTTTAAGCCAAACTCCTTGAGTTTCGTTTCCTAACAGATTTTGCAACTGGACGCAGCAGGTCTGAGAGAATAGGACGCCCAAAGACCCGCTGCCAAGTGAGAAAGAGGAGCATAGGTGTGGCTTCAAATCATGGAAGGGGCTTTCAGCAGCGCTCTGCGAACTTCAGGGTTCATTTTGAGATTTGAAAAACAAACTTTCAAAACATTATCATATCAAGAAACCTAATTTAAGAAAAGTCTTCCAGAGTCAACTGGCTAAGGAAAGCTCCGGGGTCTGGGAAGAAATATAGTATGACCCTTGGAGCGCCTCGGTGGCACAGTCAGTTAACTGTCCGTCTCTTGGTTTCAGCTCAGGTCCTGATCTCAGGGTCATGAACTCAAGGCCCCACGTCAGGCTCAGCTTAGAGTCTGTTTGAGATTCTCTCTTCCTTTCCCTCTGCCCCTCCCACTCATGCTCTTTCTCTCTAAAATAAATAAATTAATCTTTAAAACAGAAAGAGAGAGAGGAAGGAAGGACAGAAGGAAGGAAGGAAGGAAGGAAGAGAGGGAGGGAGGGAGGGAGGGAGGGAGGGGGGAGGGAAAGAAAAGAAAAATGCAGCATGAACCTCTTTCTGGAAAAGAAGGAAAGTGGCCATCAGGGGAAGGTTCAGAACACACCAAAGATTCAGCTAACCCCAGCCCTGAGTCAATGGCCCAAAGTCACAGCACACTCACAAAACCCCAAAACCACATGCTCTGTGAACCACATGGCTGAGGACCCGATGTCTTCCTCTCACCTTGCTGAGGACACCTTGCTTCTGGGCAGGTGACAAGTCAGACACATGCAAAGAGACCGTGCTTCTCAGGACCTGCAAGAGGTCCCTGCAATCCATGCCATAGAAGGCCTGGGTGCCAATCCCGGCCAGCAGCACGCCCATCTGGCTGACACTGTAGAAAGACGGCACCTGGGAAGACCGGCCGCGAGGAGGATGAGGTTCTACTCTGGTTTCTCACCTGGGAGACACTTACCCCACTGCATGCCGGGTATCTGGATGGGTGCCAGGGGCACGACTGGAAGCAAGACACATGCTGCCCTCCCAGACCTTCCTTCCTTCCATCAGGAAAGAGAGTCAATATCAAAACACAACACATGAAGCAAGTGCTCTGCCCGGGGCGTACCGTGCTGTCCGAGGCCACAGTACAAATATCAAAAAGTCATGACCCATGCACCACAGCTGGCCATACAATGGGCTTCTGTGTGTGTGTTGAACTTGGACTAGCTGACAACATTTTAAAATGGGGGAAATTTCCATTAAAATCCAGGTTTAAAAAAAATCTGAGCACCAGGCAATACCAGGCCCACATCGGCAACAGTTGGCAAGAACTGACCAGCAGCTGCCCCTTGATGTAGGTCGTGGGGCTCTCAGTTTACCTAGCCCCACCCCTCGTACAAGGCCCCCAGGTAGCCCACTTTTCTCATGAAGTCCCCTGACACAGCAAACCCCATGCTCATCTATCTCCATGTAGAAGCTTTGAGTTGAAAAAAATGTTTCGGGATATGGGTCTGATATTTTATGACAGATATGATTGTGGCTGTCTGCCCCATCAGAAACTCTACTTGTTTTGTCTCCTTCCTTTAGAGTAAAGATGCTAGATCGTTTTCCAAATAATCAGGAACATTCATTCCTTAGCTCTACAAAAAGCCAGTTGTGTGGTTTGCCTGCTATGCTCTGTAGAATGGATAGTCTCTACCATCCTCAAGGAAGGCAAGACCTCTCGAGCTCTTGGCATCTTCATAACAACTGCTTCACCAAAGAGACAAGTCACTTTGTCCAGGACTGGGAGGAACAAGACGGTCTCCCTCAGCTCCCTGAAATCAAATGCATGTTTCACTGTGCAAGTAAACTCACGGGGCCCCAGTCAAAACAGAGGAGGGCAGCCAAGCCTTCAAACTAAGTTGCCATGAGGCTAGAAGAAACAAGAATGGGCTAGCCTTGGCCTTGAGTCAGAAAGTAAGAATGGATGGACCATGGCCATGGTGCCATGCTAGAGGCAGTCAGCATGGGAGTTAAGCAAGCAGACTCTGAAGCCAGACATCCTGGGTTCAATCCCAGCTGTGTCCCTTTTATGGGACCCTGGCAATTCCCTTACACACTCTGTGCCCCTCATGAATGACATAGAAAATGAAGGTCCATAACACACTACTGACCTCAAATGGTTGTTGAGAACATTGAACAATTAACTCACTTAGACCCGAACCTGGCACACAGGAAGTACTTAATGTATATGTTATTATTGTCACTTTGGAATTGGTCCCCAGTCCAGTCCTCATGAACTAGTCTGCATCCCGGGACACAGCTATGAGACAGAAAGAGCAGGACACCAAAATATTTAGGGGCTCAGGGTTCTGGAGCCCCTTCTACTGAGCCCAGGGCAGAGAGATGATTTCCCCAGGAAAAAAGACTCATTTCCCACCCCAGGAGCAACTGGACATGGACTAAGGCTCCTGTCCCCTCTAAACAGGACCTTCTGCAAGGACAATTCCCTCCCTGCCGCCCAAAATGAATAAAATAGCATTATCTTTCATCTCAGGATGAGGGACGTGTTTGCAGCCTCAATAACAAGCAAGGAAATCCTGGAACGGGTCCCAAGCTTTGCAAACAACACAACAGCCACCACTCATTGAACTCACACTCTAGGTCACATGTTCCAACCTCTTCCTGCATACTGACCCGCAGAATCCTTACAGCCCTCCTACAGGAGAGGCACTATCATTATCCCCATCCTACAAAGAGGGAAACTGAAGCAAAAAGGCAAGCCCATTGTCCAGTGTCTCGCAGCTAGTAAACGGCAGAGCGAGTCCTCTTTGGCACCATCTTCGTACTGACTGGCTGTCCTTGTGTGTCACTGGGCCTTGGGTCTCAGAGCATTAAAAAAAAGAGTTCAAAGCTCCAACTGACCTTCTCATGGGCCAAGTATTTGGCAGACAAGATGATGACCTGGCTCTTGGTCCAGCCTGAGACCTGGTTGAGGGTAGACATGGCACCATGCACAGCCTCGGGGGAGAGGGATTCCAGCTGACTGTGGGTCAAGCCCACAACCGCATCTGACAAAGAGCCCAGAGTCTCATTGAGGGTCTGGTTCTCCATGGCGATGTCCAGGAGGTCAGCTTTGAGCTAGAAGGGGAGCAAGCTGGCATGAGGGTGGGTAACAAGCAGCACAGTGGCTCCCTCTGCCTACGCCCTGGGGTAGTCACAACACCCTCCCCAACCCTGGCCCAAGGAGCCCTGACCAGACAATGAGTCACCCCAATGAAGAGCACCACCTCCTCTGGCCTTGACCTTAATATGCTACAAATTCACTTTGTACTTCATTTAAATATTAACTTGCTATTAAATCAACCTTGAAACACGGCAGAAGGAAATTTTGTTCACTTTGTCCATAATTCTACCACCCTCTCATAGCATCTGTTGTCTTTTTGTGACCTTGAACTCTGCATCCATATGCATGGCTGCTTTTCTTTCATGAAACATCCAGGGTGTTCTTTGTGATAATGTATAATCCATGTAAAAATAATTTTTTATTTAAGTGAAAGTGAAATCTCCTGAAACTCCTCATAAAAATAACTATGATTAGGGGCCCCTGGGTGCCTCAGCTGGTTAAGGGGATGACTCTTGATTTTGGCTTAGGTCGTGATCTCAGGGTCCTGGGATCGAACCCTGCGTGGGGCACCCTGCTCAGCGGGGAATCTGCTTCTCCCTAGGCCTCTACCCCCGACACCTCACTCATGCTCATTATCTCTCTATCAGATAAATAAATAAAATCTTTAAAAAATAAGTAAACTACAGCATGTTTCACATAGTCATAACATGAATGGAAGTATGATTTTCTACATTTTTTACTCAGGTCTTACACAGATTTTCACGTTTCTGGGATTGCCTTAACAATGATTTTATTATACTATGCCTATCTAGTTATAGTTAACTGTGTTTCCTAACCACTCCCAGTAAAGAACATTGCTACATGACCTCTGTGCCCAAAAATGAGAATGGTTCATGTTTTCACACCTGAAGTTGTAGGAACAGTATATTCCTATCAGAAATGTGCACACCAGTGTACCAGGCAATACTGAAATGGCCACTGGGGGGCAGCAGAGTAAAATGAAAGAAAGCTGTCACAGCCTCTGGGGTCTCCAAATTCGGCAGCTTTCCTTCCCAGCGGCTCAGCTTCCACATCTGTAAGATGGAGACATGTGCTTGAGCAGTGCTTTGCAAAGCACTGTGGTCCTTGACCAGCAACATGACCCAGAACCTTGTTAGAAATGCAGATTCTCAGGCCCTGCCCGGGTCCTCCTGAACCAGAGACACTGAGTTTGAGGCCCGGCAACCAGTATTTTAACAAACCCTCCAGGTGACTCTGATGCACCCTCTGGTCTGGGAAGTACTGAGCTAGGTGATCCCAAAGGGTACTCTTATATCTTCACTGTATTGCACTTTCTCGGTCAGGACGGCCACCGCTTATGCCTGTGGCTTTAAAATACATTCATTTTCTGATGTTTGGTTTCAGTTGGCTTGGGAGGGATCCTTTTCCTTGAAAATAAAAACATGCACTGGTGAAGATCATTATGACTATGTCCAATGTCAAATGGGATCGGAGATTTTATAGTTACATGTGAAAAACTACTGTGGAATTATTGATGGCATTATCAAAATGTTCTTTTTTTTTAAATCTAAGTAGGCTCCATGCCCAACCTGGGACTCGAACTCACAACCCTGAGATCAAGAGTCGCATGCTCTCCCAACTGAGCCAGCCAGATGCCCCAAAATTTTAATGTTGCTCTCACATCATCTTTTCAATTAAAAAAAAAAAAATGAAAAGAGCCAAAAACAAAAAGAAGCCAGGCAGAACTGACACTTGAAGGGAAGAAAGGAGAGAGAAATGGGGAGGGAAGGGGAAATGAGAAAGTCTGTCTGTGCCAGTTTGCCCAGAACTTTGGTCTAGGAACTCAGTAAATACACTGTAATCCAGTGTTCTTAACCCTGGCTACACTGGAATCACGTGAGGATTTTTTTGAAACATACCATTCCCAGGCCACAGCCCTGACCAATACCTCGAGAATCTCCAGGGATGGAGCTGGTGGGGTGCTACTAAGGCAGAGCCAGGTTTGAGAACCCTGCATTATCTCCTTCTGTTCCAAGCATGGTCACCAGACCAGCTGCTTCAGCATCGCCTGGAAGCTTGTTAGAAGTGCAGCCTGGGTGGCTCAGTTGGTTAAGTGTCTGCCTTCAGCTCAGGTCCTAATTCCAGGGTCCTGAGATCGAGCCCCGCGTCGGACTCCCTGCTCAGTGGGGAGTCTGCTTCTCCCTCTCCCTCTGCCCGCTTGTGCTCTCTCTCTCAAATAAATAAATAAAATCTTTACTAAAAAAAAAGAAGTACAGTCTCCACTCAGGGCTCCGCTGAGACCCACTGAATCAGAATCCACATTGAAGATCCCAAGCAATCCTTACACACGGTTAAGTTCAAGGTGGCCACTCTGAATTTTGATCTATCCCAGGTTTTCCCTTATACTGCTTTATGTCATTTCTTCCCATTTTAAGCTCATCCCAGGATTTGGGATGCCATCTGCTGTGGCTGAACCTAGATCCTGATTAAGCTGACGTGTTTTCTCTCAAAGGCCAGGCAAGACTTTGCTCTCCGTTTCTCCAGCCATCTCCCCAGGGCCCTGCACCCCATTGCACCTGCTGAACCCCAGCCTGAAAGCCCCTCAGGTGGCTGCACTTGATCATCTGGTGGAGGAGGACTTGGGCCACTGCGGCATCCAGCAAATCCAGGTCATTGTAGAAACAGACCAGCAGCCCCAGCCTGTGTGGGAAAATAAGGGTGCTGGCGGGGGGCTCAGAGCTGGGGGCCACAACCACAGCCCTGTCCCATGCAGAACCAAGAGTGATGGTCAGAGCAGCTACCACATGCCAGGGATCATGCTGAGCCCTGTACCTGATCACCCCATCACAGTAACCCTATGAGGTAGATGCTCTTATTAGCCCCATTTCACAGAAGGGCAAACAGAGCAGTCAAGTAAGTTGCCCAAGACAAAGTAGTGGAGCCAGGACTTAAATCTAGATCCAACCAGCTATACCATCTCTCTTCCCAGGGCAGTCAGAGACACAAGGGAAGTGTGATGCTGAGTCAGCCATTGAAAACTCCCCATTTTCCACATGGAGATATAGGGTTTGCTCACCTCAGATGATGATGACCTCAAAAGGAAAGAAAAAGACAGGAAGTAGGACAGCGTAAGGGCGGGGGAGGGATTTGAACCCTGGTCTAGCTGGGAGCACTGTACTTAGTGGTTAAGAGCATAGATTCAGGCCAACAAGAGTTTGAAGCCCAGCTATATGGGATATTTGATCCAACAAGTTACTTTACTTCTCTGCCAAGCTGCTGCATGCACAGTTGAGCAGTCCACACTGTGTACTACTGTACAGGGTGACCCTGTCTCTCTGAGCCTTGACTAAAAGGGAGGTTGGCTTTGTTCACCATAGCACATCACAATAAATATGCTGAATGGAGGAATCAGGAGTACTGTGAGAGTTCAATGGGAAGATGAGCACACTTCCTGGTGGACACCAGGCACTCCTTCATTAATGGATGCTCTTAGAGTTAGTATGAAATCTATTCAATTCAGCATGGCTGGACCACCTGGTTGACCAGGCTCCACCCGGATTGATCCTCTCAGAAAGACACTGACATGGGGCGCCTGGGTGGCTCAGGCGTTAAGCGTCTGACCCCTTTCTGGGGTCACCAAGTACACAGCTCCTGGCCCATCCACCTGGAGGATCATGTTACAATCTTTAAATTAGAGAGCTGATGTCATCTGTGGATCCCCCACCTGAGAATCTGGATAACAAGAGGTTCACAAATATGGGGACCCAAAAGCTCTTTCCAATCCTCAACCCACCCTAATGGAAATTACACATTGACCTTGGACAGAGAACTGAGTATTTAAGATATTCTATTTCCATGCTCAGAGCTGAAATCTTGGCACTGGATAAGGTTGCATAAAATGCCTGGCACAGGAGAGGCTCAGAAAGAATTTGTTCCCACCTCACCCCACTTTATAACTCCTTCAAAGGGTGTTTCTTTGGGGAAATGCTTCCCCTCATGTGCACAGAGACACGGGGCTATTTAAAGAGATGGACCAGCCACCTCCCTTCCCTCCCAGGGTCCTCTGCTGCTCAGAGGAAGCTGGTGCTTCGATCACATTTTGGGAAACAACTCGGAGGACCCCTGCCCCTTGCCTGTGGATGGTGGAGGTATTCCTCATGTCAAAGCTGGAGGAGCTGATCCTCTCCAGGAACGCCTGGGCCAGTTCGGGTGTGATGTCATAAACCGTGTCCAGCAGCTTGGTGGCATTGTCATAGCTGATAAACAGCCCAATCTGGTGGTCAAGGGCAGGAAGACTGGTGAGGAGGACTGATGTGGCCCCGAGCAGCCCCACCCTAGTGGTCCACGCTGTGCCCTACCTCAGAGACTCGGAGATGCCCATTTCCCGTTGTCACTGATTTCTCAATGATCTGTCACAACTGTTTTGGCTTCCTCTTCAACCCAACACTTAGGAAAGTGTTATATTTCAGTATCTGAGCTGTTGAACTCTTTGAAAGCTAATGTTTGCACATTTCTTTGTAGATTTGTTATGGGGAGGTCAGAGAATATGGTCCACAAATGTTGCACTTTGGGGCATCAGGGTGTTTTTTTAAGTAGATGAGTAAGTTTACAAATGGGCCTCGGGTGATGAAAAACAGTGTGTGCTCCCTTGGTAAGATACAAATATAGAGAAAGATAGAAATATATAGATTCAACTTTATTAAATACACCATTCAGATTCTTTCTGTTCTTATTCATTTTCTGCCTAGGTGTCCAAGGGTATCAAGCCGAAGTCTCCCATCTTTCTACGCAGTTATTCTGTGCTCATGAAGTCGTCTCTCCCTTGTGGATTCTATTCTTTGTCCATATAAAATCCCCCCTTAATGTTGGTACCCGGTGGGGCTTTGCCTCCCTTCGCTACACTTTAGAAGATGAAGAAAAGTTGCAAATGACCTCTTGATCTTGGAAATTCCTCCCCAGGGGTCCAGCTTCCTAACAATTTAATCTCCACCTAACTTCCAGAAGTTCGCTCAATATTGGGAAAGTAAAATTGAGGTTAATCCATTTTATAACCGAAGATTATAAAAGTGAAAGATGTTTGAAACAGTCTCAGCCCCCTAGGTCAAAAGAGGAACCTAGATACGTCAACTATACTTCAATTAAAAATTTTAAAAATTTTTCTTAAAAAGAAGAACCTGGGGGCGCCTGGGTGGCTCAGTTGGTTAAACATCTGCCTTTGGCTCAGGTCATGATCCCAGAGTCCTAGAATCAAGTCCCATGTCAGGCTCCATGCTCAGCTGGGAGCCTGCTTCTCTCTCTGCCCCTCCCCCCGATGCTTGTGCTCTGTCTCTGTGTCTGAAATAAATAAAATCTTTAAAAAAGATAAAGAAAAAGAAGAACCTGGTTCTGCGTCTGGTTTCATAATAAGCCAACATTGTTGGATCAATTGGCCCTTGAGAGAGCCAGTCATGTGATACAAACACTTCTCTCACTGACCAGGAGAAAGTCAAGACACACATGATAAAAACTGGAGGCAAGCCCTAAAGTCTTTATGAATGCCTCCCTGTTGGCAACATGCTTTGGAGACTGCATTCCAGAATCATGATGCCCAAGGGATTTCAGTGTCACTGGGTCAACAACAGGAGGACAGACAGGTTGGCCAGTGAGTGAAAGTAACCTTAGAACTTGTACATTTCTCAACTGTAAACTCTACCGTTAAAATCCAATCATTGCTCATACTGAAATAGCTATCAATAGAAGTAGCTATAAATAGAAGTCGCTAGTAATCCACGATTCGTTTGATTTGGGTTCATGCTTCCAAGGACCAGAAACTCTACAGCTATTGTCCTTGGCCTTTCTTGAATACAAAAATACCCTAAAATGATTTTTGGTTCACAGCCAACATTTTCTTTATATCATGTTGGTTCACACTGGAGCTACCTTGGTTGTCTACAATTCTTGTTCTTTTCTTGGTTCGTCTGCACTAAAAGCAATCTGATGACCAACCACTTGAGGCCTCATCCCAAGAGTTTTCTTCAGAGACTCAAGATATATTGGCCGAGGTGGGTATCCAATTTTCCAGGGCACCTTGACTGGCTGAACATGAGAGGTTTAGAATACACCTTTCCCCAGATGGCTTGGTGATGGGAACATGGAAATGTAAGTTTCCCACTTACTTCTAAAGGACTAATTTTCACAATTTCTTCAAATGATAGGTGAACCATGTATCTTCCCAAAATCCATAAGTTTTCTGCACTGACCCATGAAACAGAGTCATCTGCAAAAAAATATATAAATGGAGAAATACGTAAATAAATAAATAAAAGCCCCTGCCTGGTATGTGATAATCAAAATCATCTTTGACATCAGGACTTCCTTCCTATGTTCATTCATTCGTTCAACAACCATTCATGGACAGCCTCCTACCTAGGAGACGTTATGCTACACATAGGCAATCACAGATACCAGCCACCTGAGGCTTTGTTCCTCAGCAGCATGGTCCCTGGACTAGCAGCACCAGGGCCACCTGGAAACTTATTAAAAATGCAGATTATTAAAAAAAATGCAGATTATTTGGGGGCACCTGGATAGTGCAGCTAAGTGGCCGACTCCTGATTTCTGCTCAGGTCATGATCTTGGGGTCGTGGGATTGAACCTGCCTTGAGCTCTGCGCTCAGTGTGGCGTCTGCTGTGTCCCCTCTCCCCTCCTTCTCTGCTCCTCCCCCCACTCACACTTGCTCTCTCTCTCTCAAATAAATAAGTAAAGTCTTTAAAAAAAGATTCCTTTAAAAAAGGCAGACTATTTCTTAATAGTTAAGATCACAAAATATAGTTTTAGTTCGCTTAGTTACTAAATAATCTGGCAACTTGAAATATACATGACTCTTTCATTACTACCACTAACAATCATTATCAGCCTTATTGATTAGCACCAGGTTACAGTATTTGAGCCAAACCAACTACTCACCCTTCCTCATATGCACCCCAAGTGTTCTCCAAATCTTCTCTCATGTGGGCCCTTTTCATCAGCTAGGATGCCTTTGCCCCTAACTCTTCTGCTCTGAAATCCTATCTTCAGAATTGAGTTCAAACATTCCCTCTTCCCTCTAAAGCCTTGTCTTGTCTCCTCAGCCGTCAGTAATTTCCCCTTCCTCTGAATTCCCAGAAGATTCTGTCGCTCTGTTCAGGCATTTGAAATTGCTCGTCAGCGGGATGTCAGTGGGACTTCAAGAACCATCATGTCCAGGCTCCATTTGGACTTCACATTTCACTAAGCTAGAATCAACCTCATTGCCTCCAATCCTTCAGTAAAAGACTTTTACACACAACAACATTGTGTTGGTGGCATTTGGGGGAAATGGAAGAAGCAGGGGAGCGTTTACAGGAAACAGTGACTCCATCACCAAGAGCTGTTGCAAAAAGCCAGGGGCAATGATTCTCATGCCCAGACAAGATGGTGAAGTCAGCTGTGGTATGGGCTGGGTCACAAGAACAACAGGATGCCTCGACAGCCCGGGACTCAGAGCTCTTGGGGTGAGCAGAGAGAAATGCCCTAGGATCGCCTAGATGAGATGAAGGCTCTGGACATTTGACTTGGTTATTAGAAGGGCTGGTCCCAGAAAGCTAGAGAACTGGGTGGTGTGCCACCAAACTCATCAAGAACCAAGTTGAGTTGTTAATTTTAGATTAGTTATAAAGCATGAAGTGTATTTCTGCAGACCAAGGATCCCAAAGATCGGGATATTTTTAACACCCAAAGTATTCCCAGTTACCTCAAGGAACTTCATGAAAAACAAAAAGCTTAAAGGCCAAGTAGAATTCGTTTTAATTCACTTGAGCATAATAATAAAACATAGCATATAGGAATTTTAGAAGGAATGTCTGTCTCTAATTAAATTCTGGCGACAAGGACTTAGGGAAGTCTAGAGGCTGAGTGGCTCTCTCAGGGTTACACACGGCGAGATTCAGATTTCTGGAGGCTGTAAATACGCATCAGGCAGAGGGAATTCTGCCACACACTGAAGACATCGGTTATTCTGTTGTGGGACACTCCTTATACACAAATCTCAGAGCTTAATTCCAGGAAAAGGATTGATTGGCCCTCACTACACTCCAGTCCCACAGGCTTCCTTTATGTTTCCCCAAACACTGAGCTCATTCCCACCCCAGGGCCTCTGTGTTTGCTGTTCTCCTGCCTGCAACACCCTTCCCCCAAAGCCTCACAGGACAGGACCCGTTCCATTTTCTCATTATGGTCTCAATTTAAATGTCAGGTCCTCTCTGATTCTTCAGTCCAGAGGCTGGCAAACTACATAGCCCACCAGCCAAATCCAACCCGCCACCTGTTTCTGTGGAGGCTGTGAGCTTGGTTTTTACGCTTCTAAATAGTTGGAAGTAACATCAAAAGACTATTTTGTGGCATGTGACAATTGTGAAATCCCAATTTCAAGGCCCATAAATAAGGTTCCCCTGGGACCCAGCCCCGCCTGCTCACCTGTTATCAATATCTGCTTTAGCACCAGAACATGAGAGTTGATTCACTGAGCCAGACTACAGGCCCACAGAGCCTAAGATATTTACTCTGACCCTTTATGGAAAACAATGGCCAAGTCCTGTTCTGGTCGAAAGCACTAAGCCTTTCCATAACATTCATCCATTTTATTTTATTTTCTTCATAGCACCTACTGGTGCCTGAGCCCTCTCTCTCTCTTAATTTGCTGGTTTAAAACTTTTCTCCACCTACCCTCCCCCAATAAAACAAGAGCTCTATGAGAGCAGAGACTTTGTCTTTGTCTTATTTTCCTCTGTATCTCCAGTGGCTGACTCACGGTAGGATTTGGTAAGTGTTTAAAAAGTTTATTCTGTTTACATGACTCACATTAAAAACTCAACAAATTGAAGCCACCTGAGACATTGTCTGCATTACTCATCTACACAATCATTCTTTTCTCTTTTTTTTCAGTTGTAGTAAACATAACATAAAGTTTACTAACTTAACCATTTGTAAGTGGATGGTTCCGTGGTATTAAGTACATTCACTTCACTGTGCAACCATCAACACCATCCACTTCCAGAACATTTTCGTCTCGCAAAACCAAAACTGTCCCCAAGAAACAACGACTCCCCACTTCCCCCTCCTCCCAGCCCCTGGCAACCACCCTTCCTACTTTCTGGCTCCATGAATTTGACTCCTCTAATACACATCTGTAAAATAAATGAGTCTTGACCTACTTCTGCCTTGGCTGCCAGGAAACTTTGAGCTAAATTTCTGTGCTTTATTGCCTAGATTTCCTTTTAAAAATTTACCGCGTCCCACTCTAATCCAAATTTATGATAGATTTTTGAACTTGAAACCTTACTCTAAAGGTTCTCTTCGAATCCAAGACGCTGTCGTTATTTACGTTCCACTTACAAACTAGGACAGCCCATTGATTTTAAGATGCAGAGCCATCCTTATTTTGGAGACTTGAACGTGTGGGAAGTGTATGGATGGAATAGGGTATGGGTTTGTTTTGGGTTTTTTTCAGTTTTGTTTATTTGGGGCACCTGGGTGACTCAGTCAGTTAAGCGTCCGCCGTCAGCTCAGGTCATGATCTCAGGGTCCTGGGATCAAGTCCTGCATCGGGCTCCCTGCTCAGTGGGGAGCCTGCTTCTCCCTCTGTGGCCTCTGCCACACACACCGCCCCCCCGCCACTCATGCTCTCTCTCTTTCTCTATCAAAAAAATAAAATCTTAAAAAAAAAAACAAAAACATTTTATTTATTTATTTGGGAGAGAGAGTGCTAGACTGAGAGACAGCATGAGCCAGGGCAGAGGGAGAGGGAGAAGCAGACTCCCCTCTGAGCAGGGAGCCCGATGCAGGACTCGATCCCAGGACCCTGGGATCATGACCTGATCCGAAGGCAGACGCTGAACCGACTGAGCCACCCAGGTGCCCCCGGGGTATGTGTTTTATTCCATAAGCCACGTCAAACCCTTTTCAGAAGGTGGGAAGGACGGGTAAAAATAAAAAATAACAATGAAATCAAATCCCTATCTTCAGAGAGGAAGCACTACTTTTAAGGATGGACTCCCCCTGAAAAGTGATCCCACTCCGAAGCCCAGGCTCACCAGTAGCCTTGGAGGACGTCTGCAAAATCCCGGTCATCCAGGAGTAGAGAGCTCTCTGGGAATGAGCCGAGGTTTGGTCGTAGAGATCTTTGAACACCGCAGATCTAAATGACAAACATGGGCGTCAATTACGGAACAAACAGGTGGAGGACTTGAGACAGGGTCAAAACAGCCAATGGACCCAAAGCTGTCTTGTGTTAAAAAGCCTTCCCACTCCCTTGCTATGTGTAGCTATTGGCCCATTTCTCCTTTGTCCTTCACATCTAAATATCTTCCAAAGAGTGCTCTCCACTTCCTCACCTCTTAGTCACTTCTTTTTTGTTGTTGTTATTGTTTTGTTTTTTTATTTTTTAAGATTTTATTTATTTGAGAGAGAATGCGTGTGCGTGCAAAAAGTGGGGGGAGGGGCAGAGGGAGAGGGAGAAGCAGACTCCCCGCTGAGCAGGGAACCAGACTCAGGGTTCAACCCCAGGATCCTAGGATCATGACCTGAGCCAAAGGCAGACGCTTAACCGACTGAGCCACCCAGGCACCCCTCTTCTTTTTTTGTAACAGCTTTATGGAGATATAATTCCCACATCATATAATTCACCCGTTGAAAATGTACAATTCAGTGGTGTTCCCAGAGTTGTGCAACCATCACCACATTCAATTTTAGAACTTTTTAAACATCTCAAAAAGAAACACCATACCCTTTAGCTACCACCCCCCAACTACGAGTCACCCCAACCCCTAGAAACTACTAATTTACTTTCTGTCTCCATAGATTTGCCTCTTCCGGACATTTCAGATAAATGGAAGCATGCGATATGTCATCTTTGTGACTGGCTTCTTTCACTTGGCATGATGTTTCCAACGTTCATGCATGTTGTACAATGCATTAGCACTCCATTCATGGCCTTTTCAGGGCCAAATACTATTCCACAGCCTGTACCTGCTACATTTTGTTTATCTATTCACCAGCTGATGGACCTCTGGGTTGTTTCCACCTTTGGTCTATTATGAACAGTGCTGCTGTAAACACGAATGTGCCCGTTTTTGTGCGGACAGACATTTTCATTTCTCTTGGATAGATACCCAGGAGCAGAATTGCTGGGTTAGATGACAGCTCTGTCGTTGGCCTTTCGAGGAACTGCCAGATTGTTGTCCAAAGAGGCTGCATGATTTCACATTCTCACCCACAGTATATGAGGGTGCTGATTTTCTCCATACCCTCACCAACACTGGTTAGTATCTGACATCCCGGTTTTGGGGTTGTTGTTTTTTTTAAGTTTTTGTTTAAATTCCAGTTAGCTAATGTAATATTAGCTTCAAGGGTAAAATATAGCGATTTAACATCTCCATACAACACCCGGTGCTCATCACAAGCGCACACATTAATTCCCATCACCTATTTAACCCATCCCCTACCCACCTCCCCTCTGATAACCATCAGTTTGTTCTCTGCAGTTAAGAGTCTGTTTCTTGGTTTGTCTCTCTTTTTCCCCTTTGCTCATTTGTTTTCTTAAATTCCACATATGAGTGAAATTATACGGTATTTGTCTTTCTCTGCCTGATTTATTTCACTTAGCATAATACTCTCTAGTTCCATCCATGTCATTGCAAATAGCGAGATTTCATTCTTTTTATGGCTGAGTAATATCCATGATATATATATGATGATCACACCTTCTTTATCTACTCATCAATTGATGGACACTTCGGTCGTTTCCATAATTTGGCTATTGCAGATACTGCTGCTATAAACACTGGGGTGCATGTATCTCTTCAAATTAGCATTTTTGTATCCTTTGGGTAAATACCTAGTAGTTCAATGCCGGATCATAGGATAGTTCTATTTTTAACTTTTTGAGGAACTGCCATACTGTTTCCAGAGTGGCTACATCAGTTTGCCTTCCCACCAAGAGTGTGAAAGGGTCCCCTTTCTCCGCATCCTCACCCACACCTGTTATTTCTTGTGTTGTTGATTTTAACCATTCTGACAGTTGTGAGATGGTATCTCACTGTAGTTTTGATTTGCATTTTCCTGATGCCGAATGATGGTGAGCATCTTTTCATGTGTCTATTATCTGTGTGTCGTCTTTGGAAAAATGCCTATTCATGTCTTCTGCCCATTTTTTAACTGGATTATTTGGTTTTGGGGTGTTGAGTTTTAAAAGTTCTTTATATACTTTGGATACTAACCCTTTATCAGATATGTCATTTGCAAATATTTATCTGACATTTTGATTATAGACACCCCACTGGGTATGAAGTGTCTTGATCACCTTTAACCACTACGGCCTGGTCCCCTCCCCACCACACCTCTCCTCATGGTCCCAGTCACCAACGACCTCCTTGTTGCCATACGCAGCAGTCCCATTTAGTCCCAATATGACTTGACCTTATAGTAATGATATCAAAGTTACTTTTTAAATAAATGTTAATTAAAAAGAATGAGTCATGGGGCTCCTGGGTGGCTCAGCCAGTTGGGTGTCTGCCTTCAGCTTGGGTCCTGATCCCAGGGTCCTGGGACTGAGCCCTGCATCAGGCTCCCTGCTCAATGGGGAGCCTGCTTCTCCCTCTCCTGCTCCCCGTATTGTGCTTTCTCTCTCTCTCAAATCAATAAAATCTTTTAAAAATAAAAATAATGAGTCACTATAAAGAAAAAAAAAACAAGTAAAGAATAGTATCAGTGGTGTACAGATAGGGCAAAAATTGTGAGGGTGGTACCAGAATGACCGACATTTGGGAGGCACTGTTTTAATCAAACCATTTCTAAACCCCACAGATGTTAAGCTCTGCTCCAGGCCTCACATGTTAACCTGCTCCCCTTGCTTTCTCCCCTCTGCCATATATTACCTCTGAGGAATGGGGAGTGGGGTTCATGGGCTGGGGGAAACACTCACAGGTTCTTGAAAGCGTCCTCACACAGGTCCCAGGGGAGCTTCTCTGCGATGTCCGGCTGCAGAAGGCTGCCTGAGGAGCCCCTCAGCACCCTGCCCAGGATCTCCACACACTCCAGCGAGTTCAGCACCTGGAAACACCTCTCCAGGGTGATGAGAAACAGGCTGCGGTTCACACCAGGGCTCTGCAAGGCTTGTTTCCGGATCTCTCCCAAGTCAATAACAATGTCTTCCAGCTCCTAAAATAAAGAAAGAAGCTAGGATTGTCTTGTGAGAGGCCTCTAGATTTGGAAGCCCTGGGAGGAACCACACTTAGTAGTGGGGAAATTCAGGACCACTGTTTAACATCACTGCTCTGTCAAACCTTCTAGAACTTTCCATTTATTACAGAACAAAGTTGAGGCCTTCACCTGCCTCTCCCACACTAGGCCACTTCTCACTCTCCAGGTATACCACATGACTCACACCTCAGGCACATGCCTGAGCTGGAATTCCCTCCCCACCTCCTTCCTCTAGTGAAATCTAGCTCATCCCTCATGGATAAGCTTAACTGTCATCACCTTCTTGGTGAAGTCTTCCCAAATGCCCTCCTACTTTGGTCAAATCAAATCTCCCTCCACTAAGTGCTCCCAAATGCACCTTGAGCCAAATTCCATGATGCATTAGAGACGCTTATGGGCCTGTCTTTCCTCCATGCCAATGGTTCTCAACCCTGGCTACACATCAGAATCACTGGGGAGGTGATCCCAGCACCGCCATACAGAGTCTGATTTAACTGCTCTTCGGTGGAGCCCAGGTAGCTGACTATAGTGTGCAGTAGGGGTTGAGCCAGAAAAGTCCTTGAGGCCCACACCATGTGCCTAGTGGAATGCCTGGTATCCAGAAAATATTGAGAAAGCCTGTTAGGATGAATGAATGAATGAATAAATGAATGAACAAATGAATGAATGATTCTTTTGAACCACAGAACCCAGGAATGCTGACAGGGCTTGGTCACAATTTGATTGGCACCTGTCTTTCACCCAGCACACCCTGCAAACATAATAACCATCACTGACTGAGCAAAGACCACACACTCAACAAATGTTATATGCTATTATCTCAAGATCACAGGTGATGTAAACAAGAGATAGAATAAGCAACCTTCCCAAACTCACACAGAGCTAGGATCTGAAACAGGTGTATCTGCATCCAAGCCCACACTTCTAACCATGACCGAGTGTTTCCTAACTTCGGTCATTTACTCTCTGGGGGTAAACAGTGTGGTGGTTAGGAATGCAGCTCAGGAGTTCTGCAGCAGAGGTCTGTGGATAGAATTTAGGGCATAAGTAAACACTGGAGGAAACTGCACCTTCATTTTACTGCCACAGAACTTACTTCCAGCATTTCCTTCAGGAATGAATGTAGACAATAAGCCACCAAAGCACTAGCAGGACCTTGGATTTGTCATCAGTAGAAATCTGAAACTTTCATAATGCATTACAGTTGTCACAGATACCTTGAAATCTCCTTTATAATCAATACCTCCTCAAAATTACAGAAGCTATTTGACTCAGAGTTAAATCTTGTCATTGGATGTGGTAAGCACATCAATTACTATATTCCAAATGTGTTTGTTTTATATATTTTAATAAATGTCCTTCATTAGAATTGGCTTCCTTTATAATCCTTTGTGTTTTATTTTATAGATTTTTCACAAGTTATTCTGAGAAGGGGCCCATGGGCTTCACGAGATGCCAAAAGGACTCACAGCTGGAGTCAGGAGCCCAGGTTCCAACCTCAGACCTCCCACTTTCGAGCTGTCTATGCAAGGTTATTCATTCAACCTCTCCAAGCCCATTTCCTTATCTGAATATTGAAATGGTAAGATTATTATTGTCCTTATTTCAGAAGTCTGGAAGGGATTCAGTTGGTCCATGCATGTTAAACCCTGAGAACAGTGTTGGCAAACTATGATTCACAGGCCAAATCTGGCCCACTGCCTGTTTTTGTGAATAAAGTTTTATTGGAACACATCCATGCTCATTCATTTACCTGCCACCTATGGTTGTTTTCCTGCTACAACAGCAGAGTTGAGCAGCTGTGACAGAGAATACATGGCCTGCAAAGCCTAAAATATTTAGTATCGGGTCCTTTACAGAAACAGTCTGCTGAATGTTCCCTTAGAATAACACCTGACACATAGTAAACCCTCAACAAACATTAATCAATATCATTTTCATAGACCAGTATCCTCAGTTTTGTCATACCTTTGCACTGCCTTTACTATTATTTACCTCAGACTTTTTTTTTAAACCGACTCTTTTTTTTTCTAAACTTAAATTCATTTCAATAGGAAACATTACATCTCTACCAAACTCACAGGTTGGATGTACCCGTTCTATTTTAATAACAGACATTAAAGTAAGTCTGTGACTATTAAAATGTTTACACGGTTCAACTCCTTCTAGGAAACACCGTTTCCCACATTAAAATGTCTCTGATAAGGGCGCCTGGGTGGCTCAGTTGGTTAAGCGACTGCCTTCAGCTCAGGTCATGATCCCAGAGTCCTGGGATCGAGTCCTACATCAGGCTCCCGGGTCAGTGGGGAGCCTGCTTCTCCCTCTGACCTTCTCCCCTCTCATGCTGTTTCTCTCTCTCTCTGTCAAATAAATAAATAAAATCTTTAAAAAAAAATAAAATGTCTCTGATAAAGAAAACTCTAAACCTCACCTTTCTGGGTCCCAAGGATTTTTCTGGGTCTCATAGACCTTGCTCTGTGATGCTCTTTGATCACCAACTTTATTTTGTGGAAATCTGTCTATTTCTGTTTTTTTTTCCTACCCCCAGACTGTAAACTCCTTGAAGGCAGGGGTTGTCGTTCATCTTTCAACCCAGTGTCCACTGATGCATAGTAATCATTCATGGATTTTATTGAGCCAAACTATTAGAAGCTCCTTGGTACCCCTCATCTCTTAGTTCCCATAAGAATATATACTATAAGGCTCTTCATTTGAACTTTGGAAAAAGTAAGTGAGAAAGCCAAGGTCTGCAAGCTCCTGGGGGGGGGGCGGTTTGAAGGGAGAAGGTGGGAGGAAGACATAAAGAAGGCCTGAGTCAGGCTCAGTTGGATTCAACTCAACAAATACCATCTGGCTCTGGATTTCCCCTACTCCCGGGGTGCCAAAAACACCTCACCAAGAGGTCCTTCTTGTCTTCTAAGAGGCATTTCATGGCGGTGCAGAATTGCTGAGCATCTGTTTCCCTCAGGTCCTCCAGCAGCTTCTGGGGCTGGTACAGACGCTGCTCCAGGTGGTGTTCCACAGCTGCCTGGATTTGGGGTGTTGAGAAGACAGAGTGAGGACAGGACAGGAGCACATGGTCAGCACCACGGCCAGCAGCCCAGCCAGGGCACCTCCTTCCCAGCAGAGCCCACCAGCTGGCAGCTAGCCCACATGTTTGGTTTGGCTGTCTCCAAAATTTTTCATTAGCTGCCAACGTTTCAAAGTCAGGGGATTCCCCACAAAAATCCAGACTTCCAAGTTCTCTTGGAAAACACAAAGATTTGGCAATGCTAGGCGTATCCCCTTCCTGGTGAGAATAGCAGGCCGGGGAGCAGCTCTTCCCCGTAATTAAGCTCCTCTTCACCACCCACCCAGCCAGCTGATTTCCCCGTGGCCTGCCCGGTCCCTATAGGTGATTGGGGTTTCAAGTCCAGAGCAGTTGGCCTCTGTCCAGGCAGTTTACCACCCCCCGACTGGCATTGCTCAAACCCTTTCCCACGCCCCAAGCTACCAGTGTAGAAGCAAAATTCAGGCAGCATGAACAAACTCCCTCTTGGCATCCCCTCAGAAGTGAGGAGGAGAGGACAAAAGCGTCTCCTAAAAGAGATTACCTCTGCTGTCTGGGTAATTATTTTCTAAATCTCCGTTAAATAAAGGTGCTCTAGAGAGGCAGCATATTGTGATGGCATGTGCAAAGCTGGGCTCTAGAGCCAGACAACCCATGGGAGCATCCCCACATTGCCACCGACTAGCTGTGTGGCCTGGGACAAGTTATTTAACTAGGATTGGTAGATAAAACACAGGATGCCCAGTTAAATTTGAATTGCAGTTAAACGGTGAATAATTTTTCAACATAAATATGTCCCCAAAATTGCATGGGACATATACTGAAAAAATTATTCATTGTTCATCTGCAAATCAAATTGAACCAGGAACACTCTATTTTTTTTTTAAGCAACCTCTACACCCAACGTAGAACTCACACTCACAACCCAAAGATCAAGAGTCACACGCTCCACCGACTGAGCCATCCCAGGGCCCTGGGAATACTGTGTTTTTATTTGCTAAACAGGCAACACTACTTTGGGGCCTCAGTTTTCTCAGCTGAAAAATAGACACCGTAGAAACTTACTACGTAGGGTTTTTATGAGGATGAAAGAAGTGTGTGTAAAGTGTTTTCAACAGTGCCTAGCATATAGATCAATAAGTGTCACCCATTATTCCCTATCTTGCATGAGTTGAATAATGATTTACTCAGTGACTCTCCCACTAGAATGAAAGGCCCATGTAGGTAGTAATGTGACTGCCTTGTTCTCTTCTGAGTCTCCAGTGTCTAGAATAATGCCTGACAGAGATTAGAGGTTAGATAAGTAGATACTGAATGAATAAATAAATTTACACAAAGGAAGAGAGAGAAGATATCTACTAGTCAGGTTAAAATATACACATCTCAGGAGAAAACACTGCTGGAGAGAAAAGGGGCAGGCATTACTTGCCTTTAGGTGGCCACAGACTGATGAAGAGAAGAAAGAAAGCAGATGCCATGAGGCCAACAGCCACCTCCAGGTAATTAATGGCTGTCCGGGTAAAGGGTTAGCAACCAACTCCCTAAATGTAGCTCTCATGTGAATGTTGGTTAATATTTTCATTTTCATTATAAAGTAAATAAAAATTGGAACAATAAAGATGTCAGGACTTCATTCATTCAGATGTCAGAACTTCATTCATTCAGATGTCCCAACTTCATTCGTCAATGACAGGACTTCTTTGCTGAGTCGGAGAGTTTTTGAATACTGAAAGAATATTTCCTCAATTTTCTATGCTATTCACAGTATAATGGTAAAGATACGACATACCACCCTGGGCTGACGATCATGCTGATGAGGCACGTGCTGTCCAGTTTGCCACAGTCCCCGGCAAGCCCTACTGCTCCACAAATATCTTCATCATCTAGTACCATGCCTGCGCTACTGTTTTTCTTGCAGTAGAGTTAAAAGGGAAGAAAAATATTTTTTGGACCCATAATCAGGAGACTGATCATTACACCCAAAGAGCCAGTCTCCTGTAATTCTGTTTAACAAAAGAATCCCACAAGTTTTAGCAGACTAGGTGGCTTCTCAGAAAGGCCTCTCTTCTTACTGCTGACATGTGACTGTGGACTATGAGCCAATGGGATGTGGGCAGGAAGAAGGGGGCAACTTGCAGGTCATGTCCTTAAAGAGAAGATGCTCGCCCTTCGCTTCCTCTTTCCCACCACCCCCTCTCCTGAACTGGAGAATAGATGTGCTATTTCAATCACGTGGGCAACAACTCCCTAGAGGATGACAAAGCAACCAGGTAGAAGGAAGCTGGACCCCTGGATAGTCTTTTGAAAGAGAGCTTCCTCTCCTCTCTGGATCTCCCACCCAGCTCTGAACTGTAACAAGAGATAGCGATAAGCTACATTGTTTGTGTTCCTGGAATTTGGGGTCTCTTTGTTACAGCAGCTCAGCCTACACCCTAATACACCAAGTCTCGAGCAGAGGCAGAAAGGAGGAAAAACACAAAAGAACTTGTGTCAAGTTTCAAAACAACTGGACAGAACACATTTCCTTGTGGAAGTGAAAACTAGCTCTATACCTTATAGTCTACATCCCCATCCTACCTGGCCCCTGAGTTTACAACCCTGGAGTGCTGAGAGGGAAATATATGATAGGGATGAGTCTCAGGTACACACCTGCAGGCTGGGGATGGTGAAGGCGACATTCCGTGAATTCAGATAGGCCAGGATTCTGTGGGACAGGTCTGCCGTCCACCCATGGGAGCTTCAGTTGAAGACAGGAGAAGGTCACAATGACAGGTTCCCCTATGATGAGTGGTTCTCCTACTTGCCAAGTGGCCAGGAGACCAGAGTTCAGACAGGATGTGGGGAATGGGCCGGGGATGCTAGGAACCTCTTGTTTGGAGAGGTAGGAGATTTGTTAACCTGGCACAGTGGTGGGGAAGTTCCCCAATCTAAGAATCTTCCAGGATCCCATTCTCTCAAAGACAATTATCAGTTTCTGAGCTGTGTGCAATATTCTAATTCCTGTAACAATCCACTTGGATTAACTACAATCCAAACAAACTGACTTGGAAAGATGTCCTTACTATGTTAAATTTAAAAAGCAGATACAATGTATATCATGAGAGGCTGGAATAGCATAGTTAAGAGTGTGAACTCAAAACCCAGATTCAAATCCTGGCTCTGCCACTTAACTGTGTGGCCTCAGGCAATTTACCGAATTTTCCTGTACCTCAGTTTCCCTTTCTATGTGATATAGCTAAAAATTGTGAAGATTCTATTTGTTCACACACGTAAAGTGCTTAAAACAGTACCCAACCACATAGAAAATGCACAATTTCATTCAGAACAGCCAAAAATTGGAAATGACCCAAATGTCCAACAACAAGTAAAAGGTTAAACAAATATCGTACGTCCATTCAGTGGAAAGTCACCCATCAATAAAAAAGGAATGAGTTGGACTTCAGCTCCCAGCTATGATGGAGTAACTGGCCGCAGATAAATCTTCCTGCCTTCAACAACTGGAAGGCCTTTAGAATCCCATTTTTGTTACTAAATAAGTAGATGGATGAATAAATGAACACAAAAATAGACAGACAGATAGATAGATAGATAGGTAGATAGATAGATAGATAGATAGACAGACAGACAGACAGATTTCAGCCTGAAAGAATATATCCAATAGCTGGAGTTAGTTACATTAGGAAGAAGAATGTTTATGGGGACTCTTTCACTTTAACATAATTGAGTGCCCTTGTCATGGGCCCCCAAATCCCCATTTTCCCCCTCATAGTATTCATCATATTAGAATTATCTGTTAATATTTGTCTTTCCACAAGACTCTCTAGCGCCCTGCCCCCCATCCCTGGGATCTAACACCATTCCGTATGCAGTATATAACACGACAGGGCAACGGGCCCTGGAGCCCCACTACTGGATACACCCCTCAGCTCCACCACACCTCCCAGCTGCATAACCTTGATTCACCCTCCCTGTGCCTCAGTTTCACTATTCTGTCCAATGAGAAAACAACAGGACCTTCCCTGGGGGATCTGTGAGGATTGGATCTGTTTCTATGAATGAAGTGCTAAGAATGGGACTGCTACATAGTAAACACTCAATAAATGTTAGCAGTTGTACCAGAACAGAGAGGAATAAAAGTTTGCGAAACAAATGTATCTGCTTTAAAACACCTGTGCACTGGTTGATGTTTTTTTGTAAGGCATATGTACATACACATTACTTTTTACAATTAAGAGACTTCCCTTTAGGAATTTTTTTTTTATTATTTGAGAGAGAGAGAGGGAGAGAGAGCACAAGAAGGGGTAGCAGCAGAGGGAGAGGGAGAAGCAGGCTCCCCGCTGAGCAAGGAGCCCGACGCGGGACTCAGTCCCAAGACCCTGGGATCAGGACCCGAGCTGAAGGCAGACACCTAACCGACTGAGCCACCCAGACGCCACCCCCCCTTTAGGAAGTTTTATCGGACATCTAGTCCATCCCTTCCCCTCCCCTCTAGGGTGGGTTACCTTTGAAACTGTATGAGATCCAGTAATGCTACACAGGAATAAAATAAAAAGACAGCTTTAAAAGAATCATTCCAGAGAGATCACAGGCACATTCTGTCTGAAATTTTTAGAAGCAGCAAAGTGGGGACAGAGGGGGGACATTACCATTCAGATAGCTTCCATCTATTATTTCTTCCTAAAAGGCAAAGAAATAATGTGAACTAAAACATCCAAAAGTTGGCAGTTCCAGTAGGGGAGATTTAGATTAAAAGAAAATGGGATACTCACCGCCATTTTTTGCAACAATGGATGCAAATCTGTAAGAAAGCCATTGAAGGTATAACTAGAATTGAATTTTGTAATCTTCAGAAATATACATATGGGTTAGGAAAAGATCCCCCCCAAAAAAAGTCACTCATGAAGGAAAATTTTAGTGAATTTTAATTATACCTGTGCTCTTGTGTCCCCAGGGTGAGAAAACCCTGGTTTGAAAATCCTTTCAGAATAATCCTGAAAATCCTACACATATGTGTGCATGCACACACACACTCACACATATGCACACACCCCGGACACTCTACAGCACCTTGTACCTAAGTTGATCCATCCCACTATCTTCCCTGAGATGTGTGGAAACTATGGCAGATTACTCCTCCCTCAGGACTTACCCTGCCTGGAATCTGGAACTCTATGACTTGCCACGCCATGGCTCAGAAAAAGGAACAGGAAAAGAAAATATGTCCTAGGTTCCCGGGACATCCTCCTGTAGTTAATTCAAGCACAGAAGTGATTCAGGTTTGTATTTTTAAAATATATTTAAGAACATTCAGAAGACTTGGGGCACCTGGGTGGCTCAGCCAGTTAAGCGTCCAACTCTTGATTTCGACTCAGGTCATGATCTCAGGGTGCTGGAATGGAGCCCCGAGTCGGGCTCCACACTCAATGGGGAGTCTGCTTGGAGATTTCTCTCCCTCCCCCTCTGCTCCCTCCCCTAACCTCTCTCTCTCTCTCTCTCTCTCTAAAATAAATAAATAAATCTTTTTTAAAAAAAGAAAGAGAACATTCAGAAGACAAAAGGGAAAAACAAATAGGCCCAGAACCCCTTGAGCTCTTTTTAAAACTACATTTTAAATTCCATGTACTTTGCTCCATCTAAACCCATGCTAGTCAAAGACACAATCATCTCTCTCCTTGATGACAATGGCCTGTTTATGTCCTTACACCTCCTCCTGTTTCCTTAATCCAGCAGAGAGGAGTGATTAGAAGCATGAGCTCTGTTCTGACAAGGGGTTTATATCTAGACTATAAAAAGAACTCTTACAATTCAGTAAGTAGAAGATAGAGGCAAGAAAAGATACAAACTTAAGTTTCATTTTAAACAAAAGAAATGGCCAGTAAACCCATAAAAGATTATCAGCATCATTAGTCATCAGGAACATGCAAATTAAATGCACAATTAGATACCACTACATAGGGGCGCCTGGCTGGCTCATTCGGTAGAGCATGCAACTCCTGATCTCGAGGTCGTAGGTTTGAGCCCCACATTGGGTGTACATACTGCTTAAAAATAAAATCTTAAAAAAAAAAAAAAAAAAAGGGATGCCTGGGTGGCTCAGTCAGTTAAGAGTCTGCCTTCAGCTCAGGTCATGATCCCAGGGTCCTGGGATAAAGACCCACTGAGCAGGAAGCCTGCTCCTCCCTCTCCCTCTGCCCCTTCCCCTGCTCATGCTCACTCTCTCTCTCCGTCAAATAAATAAATAAAATCTTTAAAAAAAAAAGATACCACTACATATACTACAATGGCTAAAAGTTAAGAAGACTGACAATACCAAGTATTGATGATGATGTGGAGCAAGAAGAACCTCTTTGGAAAACTGTTTGGCAGTGTCTTATACAGTTAAATAGGCAATACTCTATGATCCACAAATTCTACCCCTGGGTATTTATCCAAGAGAAATTAAAACTTACATCCACACAAACACTTGTATAGTTTCATTCATAATAGCCCCAAACCGGAAACAACTCAATTGTCTAGGCAGAGGTGAAAGGCTCAATACGTATCATTCAATGGAACATCACTCATCAATAAAAATAAGTTGGACTTTTGCTTCCAGGTCTGATGGAAGGAGATAAACCCTCCTGCCCTAAATAATTAGAAAACCAACCAAAACAATGAAGCGAAGGCTTCCAGACATTGGACAACAGGTAGCACAAGACCGAGATTCTAAGAGAAAGGAAACCATTGACATCAAAATATATATTGGTCTCTGCTCTGGGTTCCTGGCACAGAGTTCCCAAAACCTTAGTAAATTCCTATGTGGTAAAAGTACTAGGAGCATCTTTTGTTCCACTGAAGCGACTCTGGGTGGGCTCCTGGTTGGCTCCTGGATGGGGGCTGGTCACCAGAAAAACCAAGCCATTATTCTCTAGTCCCACCCCCATCCTCCAGAGAAGAGAGAGGGGCTGAAAATGGAGTTAATAATTGATCATGCCTGTGTGACAAAGCCTCCATAAAATCCCAATAGTACAGGGCTTGGGAGCTTTCAGGTTGGTGAACACATCCACATCAGGAGGGTAACCCACCCCAACTCCACAGAGACAGAAGCTCTGGCACCGGGGACCCTCCCAGACCTTGTCCTATGTATCTCTTCATCTAGTTCTTCATCTGTATCCTTCATCATATCTTCTCATAAACTGGTAAAAGTAAGTGTTTCCCTGAGTTCTGTGAGCTGCTCAAGCAAACTGACCAAACCTGAGGAAGAGGTTGTGGGAACCTCAGATTTGTAGCTGTTGGACAGTTGGTGAGGTTCTGACAGGATGCCTGGAGGCCAGCAACGAGGAGGTCATGGCCAGCTATCGGGAAGGTCAGAGGCCTGTCCTGGCAGCACGCCACAAGAAGCCGGATCAAACCAGCCAAGCCCAAGATGGCGGATGCCATGACAGGAAACCCCTGGCCAAATTAGGAAGTAAAATCACAAAACCCTGCTTGCTGCCCCAAGTCATGATTATTTCACCCCTGAGTTGACAGCTGTCAGTAAAGGATAGAAACCCGACCCTCACGACAGGCAGCTGTCTCTTGAGTGTGCTCGGTCTGTCTCTCTCTCTCTCTCTCTCACTGCTCTCATATCTCGAGAGTGTGCTTTGCACTTTAATAAACTCTCCCGCTCGTGTTAGTCATCCACCGAGCTGTGGGTCTTTCCTCGAGTTCATTCTCATGACAAGACCAAGAACCTTCGGTGACTCCTTCGGGTCTGGCTGGGTCGAGGCCCCAGGGCCTGGGGTCTCCCTAGTTCACCTGGCAACACAGCCACCTCACACAGAAGTTGTGGGCAACCTGGAGACCTACTGTGTGGAAATCTGTTGTGTGGAAACCTGGAGACGTACTACTCGCTGCCTGGAGTTTGCTTCCTTGAAACGGCTCCTGGTGCGGGAATGGTGGGCACCAGGCACATTCCAAGGACAGGGGAGGGGATGAGGAGCCTCCCATTACCAGGCGCCAGCTCCCGGGTGCACCCGACAGTTCTGTGATCTCTCAAACGACCTCCCCCAACAAGGAGTCACCAAACCACAACCCAAATTCTAACAAGCCGCCTGGTTTTCTGGGCTCACAAGCTATTTTTTAATTTTTTATTTTTTTTAAGATTTTATTTATTTATTTGACAGAAAGAGACACAGCGAGAGAGGGAGCACAAACAGGGGGAGTGGGAGAGGGAGAAGCAGGCTTCCCGCTGAGCAGGGAGCCCGATGCGGGGCCGGAGCCCGATCCCAGGACCCTGGGATCATGACCCGAGCCGAAGGCAGATGCCCAACGAATGAGCCACCCAGGCGCCCCCCACAAGCTATTTTTTTAAATAGTTAAAAAAAAAAGCGATATCTCTCAACACATGGAAATTTCATGTACGAAATTTATATGTTAGTGTCCATAGCAAAGTTGTAAGGGAATCGGGCCAGGCCCGTTCATGCCAGGATCATCTGTGGCTGTTTCCAAGCTTCAGTGGCAGGGCTGAGTCAGTGCAACAGACACCGGTGTGGTCTACAAAGCCGAAAATATTTCTTCTCTGTTCCTTTGCTGAAAAAGTTCGCCAAGTGACACATGTACATATTTACAGAAGAAATGTGGTGTTTGAGAGATGGCTTCAAAATAATAGGGGAGGAGGGAGGTGGGAGGTGAGGATGGGTTTCCAGTGGAAGCTGAGTGGTGAGCACATGAGGCTCATTATACTCTTATGTCTGCTTTTGTATGTGTTTGAAATTCTGCACATAAATGATTTTTTAAAGAAAAAGCAACGGAAGAGACTGTGTTTTTAGTGAGAGAGGGTGGAGAGATGAGGGGGAAAGGAGATGGAAGCTGCCGGGAGGGGAGGAACTAGGGGGGTAAACAGGTGGGGATGGGTCCTTCAGGTCAAGTGGAAGGAGGGGGGAACCCTTCAAAATCTGTTTATGGGTCAAATCAGATGAAAACTGGGAGCTGCCCTTTTTGCTTCACCTGACTCTCGGGCAGCCCACACCCCAATGACGGGATACTACCCTCTTGGGGTATTAACAGGAACTTGAAGGGAACCCCCATCATGCCCACCCACGGTTTCCTGAGATTATTTTATAGGCGCCCCTGTATTCTTTCTTATAGATTTCCCTGGTATTGTCTAGCTTGTTAAGCAAATGGATCCTCTAACCCCCAAGGGGACTTCCACAACCAGCTTTGCAAACAATTATGCTCATTTTACTGCCCAGGGCAAAAACAAACTGAAACTTTTGAAACCTACAAACACCAAAAGGCACACATTCCAACAGGTTTTGAGGGAAGGGGATCCCAAAGCCCTTTGTAGACATGTTCTGCCCCACCAATCCCACCCCCCAGCTGGTACATTCAACTCTCAGAATAACTCTCACTGGGTTGGGGGTCTTTTGGGCTTTAGGGGAAACTTTGGCCCTTTTTTCTTCCCTTCCCTTTGGTCAGCTGCCCTGGGGCATTGGCCTCATTCATAATTCTCCAGTTTCCCAGACAATGAGGCTTCTTGTGCTTTATTGCCAGGGTCTCCCTATTAACTCAACGGAGAGGTATAGGATTACTGAAACAGATGCCCAGCTTTCTGCTGCACATAATGTCTTCGTTCCAAGGAAACCCCAGAGCATCACCAGTATGGGATTTGGTTTTAATTAAAAGCCCTTTGGGTCACTCTCTTTCAGGAGACTGGCCCAAAAGGATTGAATGGACTGTGCAGGGCAATAATGATTTGGGGGGTTGACGGTTGTCTCCATGGGCCCCTCCCCCTCCCCACCAAAGTCTCCCCACTGCAGGCTGGCAGAAATCAAGCAGGCTAAGGGCTGCTTTGGCGGAACCTAAAATGCAAACAGCAACCATAACCACAAACCAGAAATGAACACGGTTTCCTCAGCAATGGGGAGCAAGCATTTGGATGAGCAGGGAGACCAACCAGCCTGGTCTCCTGGGACTGAGGGGTTCTCCTGGGACATGCAGTTCACTTTTAAAACAGGAAAAGTCGCAGGCAAACCAGGATAAGTTGGTCACCCTACGGATGAGAGACATTTCATCCTCTATGAAACTTGGTGAAGTGCTGGGGGTTTTTCCCCAACGCTGACACACCCCATCCCAGACAGAAACCAACAATTCACAATTACATGGAGTTTTACTGTCTGTAAAGCAGCTCCATTTAAGGTCTGCATCATGGACCCACATTTATGGGCCATCCAGATACCAACCTGGAGATTTTCTGCCCCCCCCAAATTACAATACAATT